ATCAATATCTGCACTTTTAACCCCTTGAATCTGAGCCATGTGCTTTTGCTTCTAGACTTCTGTCTGCCAAATCACCAAGTACCATACAATTTTACCATAATACCAAGTCCTCTAAAATTTATAAAATACAAATATGCCCTTGTCTTGTTGCTACCATGCTCCCCTTCAGATCTATTTCCCTTATCTCCATTGTTTGTTGCAGTAACTAATTCATATATTTAGTTACTTCATTAACAAATTTCAATTCTTTTCCTTTGCATACAGTCAAATTCTCCATATTGTAACTGGGTCATTTTATCTGTCAATTCTGTGCAACATCAACTCTTTTTTTCCTGTACATCTGCAGCTGATTGGAGGTCATGGATAAAGATGAAAGGATGGTGGATGCATGACCTGGAGATCCAAAGCTGCATTTAATTTTATTTTGTGAATGCTGTGAGTAGATCTTTCAATGGATTTGTGATACGTTGTTTCATAGTAAATATAAAATCATAGTTGGGATTTTCTTTGTACTGGAAAGCTATATTTTTCACATTTTCAGTTTCATATTAAATACAAAATCATAGTTGGGATTTTCCTTGTACTGGAAAGTTGTATTTTTCTCATTGTTGATTGGAACATTGCTTAAAAAATTTGGTTGTCTGACTTTAAAACCAAGTTTTCCTGGTGGGCAGCTTTGTATAGCGAATTTCCTGAGTTCAAACAATGGTGCTACGGAAATTTGGTAGCTATTCAACAATTTCTGGGAGGTATTTTTGCCAAAAAAATAGTACTATTTGGATGCTTGGAAGTCAAAAAATGAAATACTGGGAAACTATGGTGCCTACTTGACTTATTTTATTTTTAAATTTAGGTTGATAGTGAATATCAAGTGAAATTTTCTGCACTTTACAGTTTATACTTGCACTCAAAGTGGTCCTTCCTTGTCTACCTCTTGTGGCTTGACCTCTCTAATCTAAGTTTGGTACAGGTTTAGAAACTAGGAGATCTTAATCTTAGTTTACAATTCGTTTGATTCGATCTGATTTGATTATCACCCCTTATGTGATGATGAGTCCCCCACCCAAGGTACTGGTTGCTAGTTACAAACTTACAACTGTGAGTGAGTTCAGACTGCCTGTTTGGACCAATAAACTTTGTGTGGGGTTGCTCATGCTGCATAGCAGTGCTGCGTTATAGTAAGTATTTCGGTGTCGATGTGTTCATTTATTTTCATTTTCCCCAAACCCCATCAGTAACTTATGATACCATCAGTAATTCTTTGATGTTCTGTGTAGGACTAGTAGATATATTCTAGTTTCTTGAGCGGAGGATGCATGTATAGAAGGGCAGATCTGCATTTCTTTTTGTTCATATGCATGTCACACACTCAGTAAAATGAAAACAGTCTCATGAAAGTCAAATTTATAATTAAGGATTTTAAAGGTTGCATGTGTAACTTAAACTTAAATAAACATAATAGAAAATGGTGGCAAGGACATCTTAGGTTAGTTTGGTAGGGGTGTTCATGCAAAACAAACCTTCCCTGTTACACAATTTGTGAAATGTCTTTGCTTCTGATTTCTTTCAGGGTGTATAATTTAATTACCATGCCTTTGGAATTTTTTTAGTATAAGCAATGGTCTAGAAATTAGAAAAAGAAGAGGGGGGGGGGGGGGGGGGGGGGGGGGGTTTGTTTGGGGGTTTTATCACACACACTACTATGATGCCATAATAATTCGAACATGAGAGGAGGAGGGGTGTTTCTCGCTCACACACTGTTATGATGCCTTGGGGATTCAAACCTGAGATTATTAGTCCTCAAGTCGAGCCCCTTTTCTACTAGGCTAAACCCGGTTGGCTCCGTGCCTTGGAATTAGATAAGGCATAACATACCAATAAAGTTAGGGAAGACAATGACCTTGGCAGCCCAACCCACATGGGAACAATGGAGTTGGGGTCTTGCCTGGGTGGAATTAGGGCTGGATTTGTGAATGGTGGTCCTGCACATTTATCATATGTCCATTTCAATCTGCTTCTAAATTGATGGAAACTGTCATTTACTTGATTCATTATTAAATTCCTCAGCCCTCTTCCAGGTAGAACAGATAGCAGATATTTCCAAAGTTAAACAAACCCATGCTCAATTTGTAGCATTTGAATCTTCACCTTTTGATTGCTTGGTAGATTTTCACCCTTTGGCTGCCATTGAGTGTTGCTCAAATTATTGCCAGAGGCAGGCATATTGGCTTTTTCATGAAGTCAACAAATTTGGCGTTCATCAATTCACAAATTATTAAAGGGTTCACCAACCCATGTACAATTTGCATAATTGATGTTGCTACAAGTTAGCCCTAGAGCTTCATGGGCATGAGGTATAAAATACATTTTCTTCCAGGATCATGGGAACTTGGAAGAAAATGTATTTTGTGGGCATATATAGAATATAATTACAGATATAAATTAACTATGTAGAAATTAATTTGACAAACAAATGCTAAAAACCAGAACAATTATCAATTACAAAAAATGGATATATCATATATGAGGGGTTTGAGCGTAGGTATTAAGAAACAGAGTGATGAGATAAGAATGTCCTACAGTCTACACCTTTCAACAGAAAATTAAAAATGGCATCTAATGGACACTGCATCTCTTATTTCATGAAAGGCGCAGTTCTACTTTCTGCAAATCACAGTTTGACACATGTAAAAATTATTCATTGAAAACACACAAAAATCTCTACACACATGTCAAACTATGATTGACAGAAAAGTAGAAGTTCATACTTTTAGAAAAGGAGGCAAATATTTTCCATCTTTAATTATTTCAAGCCAAAGAAACAAGCTTGGCCATGGCCATGACCCCATGACCATGATCCGTTGTCAATTCTTCTCATTCTTGTATCTACAATTATTTATATTTTTCGATTGGTTTAAATAATTGGTGGGGTGGTTCAGGCCATTCAATTTGGGTGATTATTTTGTTAAATAATAGTGCTCCTAAGTTGGTCGATCGACCTACAACAAGATACACACTTAAAATAACATATAATTTAACAAACTAAATCTACCTACATCCAATAACCAAACTAAAATATAAATGTGGAAGTGAATGTGCTTTCAATTCAAGTTTTCTGCTTTCATTGAAAGCATTTGATTTGAGAATAAACTACGAATTCATCAACTAACTAGGACGTGCCTTTTCATTTTATTTCTCGTTTTTCTTTTTGGAAGTATAATTGAAAATATAGTTTTCATGTGGTATGGGATCGTTAGGCTTGTAGCTCTGGTGGATTATTAGCAAAATAAGGGGGAAATGGTTTAAAAGTTAAATCATAGAATTACTGTTGAAGGATCAATAGTAATTTGATCTAGTGACATCTACACTTTGTTACAGGGTCCCATGATCACTTATTGTGTGTGCCAACTTTGGCCACATCAATGAGTCGAGAGCGGTACATGAATTGACTTGTTTGTCTCTTTTGTATATGGAACTTTGGCCGTGTTTGGTGCCTAATATTGAATTAGATTGGATAACTCACGGATGTACGGGTGAAGTAAGAATGGATGTAAAATTGAAGGATTTTGTCATTTTGTGGGGATTAGAAAGATTAAGTTATAAAGTAATTTATTTTTTTCCTAAACAAAGAGAGTTTTATTAAAGACGAATAGAAAGGTTTACATCACTAGCCAAAATATCAAAAATCCACTTAGGCCACACTTGGTCCCAGACATGGTTACCTCCTACCCTAGACACAAAGGCTGCAACCTCATGCACTACTTTATTACACTGATAGGGAGTAGCTATAAAAACGACTTGTGGAGCTTACCAGCAAGCATGTTAATGTAAAAAACAATAGCTTCCACTGCAACATCTACGTGATGCTCACCTTTGAGCATTTGAATCATTTGCACCGAATCAGATTCAACTTCAACACACAACAGTCGCACACTTGAGGCAAGCAAGCAAAACTAATCTTATAGCCACAGCCTCCATCATTAAGGCCAAGCTGCCACATAATCCCCCTACACCCCCTGCCTAGACTTGCTAGCCATAAGTATCTCTATTGAGCCAGCTATAAGTTATAAAGTATTGATGTCCTACCATTTTAAACTCCCATCCTAGCTAATGATGTTGTTCCCATTTACCGCTTAAGGAAATGACTTTCCTATTTAAAACAATATCGCTTGAATATAATAAGAAAAAGAATAAAAAGACAAGCAAAATTAGGTAAAAGCTTTTTTATTTTATGAATTTTCTTAAACGAATAACCTCAATAATAAGATAAAATATGAGCAAAAAGAAAATAACTAATTCAAATGATAATAGAAAACAGAAAATCCACCCTATTTAGAAAAATGGAAATGGTTAGACGAAAAAAGAAAAAGAAAATGGAAATGGTAATTTTGCACAAATTTTGGGATTGACACGTTTTCCTTACCCTTTCCAAAGCAGAAACTGGTTGACAAATAAAATCCAATCAGGAGAGAGATTTTTACTGCCAAATGAACCTTGAAACTCTACAAATTAATGATGTCGTGAAACACACACCTCAAACGATTCCAAATTTAGTAGAAGTAGGACTGCCCTTAAAAAGAATAATTACCAAATAATTATCAATCAATAATTATTCAAAAAGAGACTCCTAAGCCTAACCGCGTTTTCTGCTCATTTACAGCTTTCCTCAATGTCTCATTCATTTCTTCATCTTCCCCTTTCCCACCCAAACCCCCCTTCTTGAAAGCACTTCCTCACCCAACACTCTCTCTCTCTCTCTCTCTCTCTCTCTCTCTCTCTTCCTTTTCATCTACACAATCCTCCAAAAGCTTCCAAACCCACCTCCACAATCCTCCTCTCTCTCTCTAGAAGCAATCATATTCCCTCAGAGAAGCCTCCCAAATAAACAAGACACAGGCCAACCCAAAAAGTCTCTTTCTGTGTGTGGAGAGAGAGAGAGCATTATTCCAAAACCCAAATCACTTCATTTCACAATTTTCAATCCTTTTTTGATTTCATTCATGGGCTGCTCTTCTTCAAGACCTCGCACCCTTCTCACCAAAAACCCACAACAACAACCTTCACAACCCTCCTCTTCCACTGCTCTTACTTCTTCAACCCCAAACTCTTCATCTGCCTCAAACTCTTCCAATTCCTCACCACCATTACCACCATCAGCCTCATTTCGCAGAGCTCTCTCCATCTCAGCCCCTCTTGTTCATCACCCACCTCTCAGAAAAGGCGACACTCACCACCTCGTTTCTCTCACCTCCACTACCTATGGCTCCCTCCACATTGAGCCCACATCCCCCAAGACCCTCAATCTGAACGGTCAGGATTCTCCTGATCAATCCTACCCCCCAAAACGCTCCTCATCTTCCCCTGACTCTGTCATCAACACTTGGGAACTCGTGGATGGCCTCAATGACTCTGATTTCCATTCTCATTTCTCTGAAGAACAGCCCATTTCCTCCCTTTTTGACCACACAATTGGGTTTTCCAACAAAGCCAGTTCTCGCAGGTACTCAAGCTTTGATGGGTCTGTGAAGAAACCGTTTGATTCTTTCAAATCAGTGAGATCTTCAGTAATAAAGGCGGAGGACTCAATGCCTACCTCATCCTCATCCTCTTCCTCGTCTTCTTCGAAGCCTCTGTGGAAGCATTTATCGGAGGAGTCTTTGTTGTCGAAGATGGACCCCAATGTGGTCTTAACTTACAGAAGAGCATTGTCTTCTAGACAACTGGGCTACAACAACAATGGCAAAGTTGCAAGATCATTGACTTATAGTACCCCTTCGTATTCCTCAGTTTCAAATGCTTGTTTTCATCTTCCGGGTACTGAAGATAAAATTGTGGTCTACTTCACCAGTTTGAGAGGAATTCGAAAGACTTACGAGGATTGTTGCGCGGTTAGGATGATATTTAGGGGATTTAGAGTGGCAGTAGATGAGAGGGACATTTCAATGGATTCTGAGTACAGGAAGGAATTGCAAAATGCTTTTGGAGGCAAAGCAGTGAGTCTGCCACAAGTGTTTGTTAGAGGCAAGTCTGTGGGAGGAGCAGAGGAAGTAAAGCAGCTCAACGAGGATGGAGAATTGGGAAAGCTTTTGAGAGGCTTTCGAGTGAGGGATACTGGGTTTGTTTGTGAGGGATGTGGGGATGCAAGGTTTACACCGTGCCCAACTTGTAATGGAAGCCGAAAGCTGTTTGATGAGGATGAAGGGGAACTGAGGAAGTGCCACGATTGCAACGAGAACGGATTGATTAGGTGCCCTGGTTGCTGCTTGTGAATGTGTATGCCAACTGGTGACGCTTGCAGCTAACGTTCTTTTGCTAGATATCTAGCATGTTGTGTTCGCAGACTCAATCACCACGATGTATCCAGACATGGTCAATTATTCAGATCGACAATCTGACAACACAACATTTCTATCTAGCAGCAGAACATTTATGTCATAATAAATTATATACCACGCCATTTCTGCTGCAGCTACCATTAGAAATGTCACATATTCTTATGTGTCTAGAGGATTTTGTTTGAAGTTTGTTTCTATATCTATTTCCTGAATTCGTGAAGTTTTTGCATGTATGGCAGTTGGTCACTATTGAATGCACAATAAGTTTTTGCATCATAGCACTAGACTTCTCTGTAACACAGTAACAGTTTGCAATGCTTCTAGAGCTGAATTCTTCGTTCGTTTGTTTTTTTCAATTTAAGCGACGTACATTCTTTTAGTTTTGATATCTCTTTCAGTTTTTCACATGGTTCTTCTTGTGGATTCCTTGGGCAGTATGGTTTATAAAGTGATATGAATAAACACCTTCAACTATGTGGACTTCAGGTGTAAACTACAGAAGCTACATAGACATAGTATCTGCTATTGATCAAGTTACTTGTTGCCCAGTGTGTATCAATGTTCTTCCAAATTAATCTAGTTTTGACAAGTATGCACATTACATATCAGCTTCAAATACTCATTGTTGTTTCTCGTGACGTGATTATTTCGAAAAATAACACCAAACCACTGTATGGTCGCTGAAAAATGTTAACAATCAAATAACAGTTTGACAATTGGTTTAATGAAGAAAAAATGAATCTAGAAAACTAGAAGACGACAGGAGGAAGAGGGGAGAAATTAGTGCTTCATATTCCTATAAAATGATCCTTAACTGGTGTTTTCTTGGGGTCCATATTTGCCTGGTATGTAAAAGTCATATGCTTCAGCCAAGGATCTAGCCACTTGGGTACAGGCTTCATACGCAACTTTGAAACCTGCATCTGCTCAAGTTCAGTCCTATTTAAAGCATCTGTCAATGGAAACCTGCATCTATCATCGTCCCGAGATTATTCACGTATTCAGCTGCAATCTCATGCCCAATCAATGGCACGCAAGCAATTAATGAGGAAAAGATGATACACAGAATCAAAGCTATATATGATTTCACAACCCTATTTACAAGCAGGGATATTTAGTCATATACCAATTCTTAGTACAAAAAAATATAAATAAACTTTACACCATTTAATTTCTATAAACAAAAAAACAAAAAAACAAAAACAAAAACCAAAAACCCAAAAAAAAAGGCTGACTCTATTTAATTTAATTTTGATTATTAAATTACTTTGATGCCCTATTGAGTGTTTTGAGTTTTTTATTTATGAGTTTTGGGGTTGGACTTGTTTTAAGAAATTGATGGCAATTTTGTAATTTATAAGAAGTTGAAAGCCTCTTTGTTATGTTGTAAATGAACTTTGAGTGTGTTTCTAAAGTCCATTTCACATATGGTATTTTTATAATTTGAGCCCCTATATTGGATATAATTAATAGTGAATCTCTTTTTAAAGCATCGTTAATGAAAACTCTATCTATAGATAGACAAAGACGCGAACACACACACACACATATATATATATATATATATATAAATCATGAGGAAAGTTATAATAATATTTTGGTATCACATTGAAATGATGGCAGCATGATAAGCTCAGAAATTTAGGTTTTAATAAGTCTCAAACTTATTAGTTACACAAACACAGAATAAATGAATTGAGAAGAATATGGAAATGAGTGACAAAATCTTTAAGAGTAGCTTGAAAGGGGTAAATATTAAAATTTCTAAATAACCCGCCAATATATAAAAATAAAAGTTTCTAAAATAAAGGAGGGACATCCGAATTTTACTAAACCAAAGATTGATCTTCACTTATCCTTTTCTTGTAGTGGGGGGAGGGGATTGGATTCTTTGGTACGAACAAGATTTGACGTTTGTCATGATTTGGCACTAACTAGGAAGAATTCAACACAACATAGTTGATGAGAAACTACCACCAAACTTACGGGTAGGCCAAGTATCGGAGGATTTGCTCGAGTAGAGAACTTAAAACCGGACAGCTTGAAAATAATGAAGAAAAGAAAACAGGCAAGTAGAAACCTGAGATGATGAGACAGAGAACTGTTGTTGAACAGTAGCTCATCAACTGATGATATTCAATGAATTCACCTACGTCAGAACTCATTCTACATCTTCGTGAAGTGTGGCCAACTCCCGTGGACATGTGCGCCTCTTCTGCTTGATCAAGAGGACTCAAAACCTCCTGTGCAACAAACGGTAGATCTCTTTTGATTTAGCAGAGATTTACTCAGCTAGAACAAGTAATGAAAGCTTAAAACTCAGTGATATATGCATCGTTCAGCCTTTTCGTCTTCATCTGTCCGAGAACCTACAATTGCTACTGAGAGAAATTTACCTACAAATATCTATATTTGAGACGGGAAAAATGAACAAAAAGAAGAAGAATACAGCAGTTGCATTATCTATTTTTACAATAAAAAAACCAGTCTTTATCTGCTATGAACCCACCATATCTCTCACTGTATTATTTCAATTAGCGCCTTCAGATATTGTTCAACGAGCTCTATTTGTAAACTATATTAGTGACTGCACATGATAGAACACACATCAAGAATATACAAGAGCACATCTCCTCAATCCGATCCCTTCATACACTTATTCTAGATGGGGTGAATTCTTTTGTGTGGGTTGGCTTGATCGGTTGAGCAGTGGCACTTGTATTTATATGCATCTTGATGGGTTTCCCTCGTTAGTGGAGGAGAGAAAAAGAAGGAAAATAAATATTAAAATAAAATGAAGGAAAGGACAGGAAAATTTGAAGAAAACGAATGGAAGAGAAAATGAGAAAACTCTCCCTCATGTATGTCCACCAATTAGTTAGGAATGTTGGTTATAAAAGCAGTTGCCTTCTTTCAGTTCAATGCATTCCTTAGAAAACCAAAACTTAAGACAGTTTTGAGAGATAAGAAAGCCTCTTGTGAGAGAGAAAATCCTCTTGAGAGAAAAACCAAGAGAGAGTTTAGCCACCGGTGTTTGGTGTGATTATTATTGTATTCCCATTATTTTTCTTAGTGGAAGATAGAGTGTTAATTTGCCCATTTTATTTATACAAGGCTGGGAGAAGTCAGATCCTGGGAGTGCCATATTTATTTATTGGTCCTTTGATTTTTCGCCATCTTTCCCAGCAAGTGGTATCAGAGTTTCGGCTCAAAAATTATATTCTTGTGTAATTTAAAATGGAGTCATCGTCATCATCATCAGCAACAATGTTAAAATTGACTACATCCAATTACTCCATTTGGAAGCCAAGAATGGAGGACATCCTTTACTGCAAGGATTTGTATGAGCCATTTCAATTGCTGGGACAAAAACCAGCAGAGAAGTCAGACGATGCATGGAGCATTATGAATAGAAAAGCTGTTAGACAAATCCGACAATGGGTGGATCAAAGTGTGTTCCACCATGTGGCACAAGAGACATGCATACACATTATGGACAAAATTGTCGTCCATGTACAAGCGGAAGACCGCTTAAAATAAAGCATCAGTTATCCAGTGGTTGGTAAACCTTATGTACAGAGATGGTCAAAGTGTTATCGAGCATCTCAGTGACTTCCAAGGTTTGATCAACTTGTTTACGAATATGAAGATGGTGCTTGATGATGAGTTACAGGCACTAGTGTTACTCAGCTTTTTGCCTGATAGCTGGGATACACTAGTAGTATCCTTAAGCAATTCATCTCCTCAAGGTGTTTCTTACATTGGACATAGTTAAAGATAGCATGTTCAATGAAGAAGCAAAGAGGAAAGAACAAGGTGTAGTGGCCGAGTCAGAAGCCCTCATCTCAGAGTATCGTGGAAGAACTAACAATAGAAAATTCCACAGGCGAGACAAGTCAAAGGGCAGGTCAAGAGATGGCTGGAGAGGAAAGTCCAAGACAAGAATGACCTAGAATGTTACCATTGTGGTTGGATAGGCCAAATGAAGAGAGAGTGCAGGTTGTCGAAACGAGAGCAAGATAGAGGTAACGAAAAAAGTGATGCCAGGCACACGACCGCAACTACCTCCGGTGGAAATGAAGTAATTATTCTATGTGGTGATGGCTTCGCTAATTTTTCCTCTCAAGATACATGCTGGATGGTGGATTTTGGTGCATCATTTCATGTCACTTCACGGAAGGACTTCTTTACATCTTACACCAATGAAGATTTTGGTAATGTGAGGATGAGAAATGAAAAATGTCCAAGATCGTGGGAAGAGAAGATATTTCCCTTGAAACCAACACAAGTTGTCACTTGGTCCTCAAGGATGTGAGACATGTTCCAGATATGCATCTCAATCTAATCTCTATTGTATTACTTGACGATGAAGGATACACCAATGTCTTTGTTGAAGGGAAATGGAAACTCAGCATGAACTCTCTTGTCCTAGTACGAGGGAAGAAGGAGAACACCCTATACATGACACATGCAAAAGTCAGTAATGGGTATGTAAATGCTCTCGCAGAAGACTCGATTGAGTTATGACATAAACGGCTCGGTCACCTGAGCGAGAAAGGGCTGCAAATTCTAGCCAAAATAAAGGCACTGACTGGGATGAACAAAGGCATGCCTCTAAAATCATGCACGCACTGCTTGGCTGGAAAGAAGCATAGAGCTTCGTTTCAACATGGTCATGCACAAAGAAAACCCAATGTATTGGATGTTGTGTACTCTGATGTTTGTGGTCCTATGACCACTAGTACTCTTGGTGGTGCAAAATATTTTGTCACCTTCATTGACGATCATTTCAGAAATGTATGGGCTTACGCACTTAGAACAAAAGATCAAGTATATGAAGTTTTCAAGCAATTTCATCCTAGCGTTGAACAAGAGACTGGTAGAAGCTTGAAATGTATTCGCACCGATTACAGAGGAGAATATATGGGGGTGTTTAGAAACTACTGTAGAAGTAATGGAATTAGGCATGAACGATTTGTTCCGAAGACTCCTCAGGATAATGGCATAGCTGAGAGAATGAACAGAACAATTATTGAAAGAATAAGAACAATGTTATCTCATGCCAAGCTGCCCAAAAGTTTTTGGGGTGAAGCCCTGATGACTGCGGTTGATCTAATCAACCTTTCTCCTTCAGCACTTTTGAATGTTGATGCCCTGAACAAGTTCTGGTCGAGAAAAGACGTTTCCTACAATCATTTGAAAGTTTTTGGTTGTAGAGCTTTTGTTCATATTCCTAAAGACGAGAGATCCAAGCTCGACGCGAAGTCGAAAGAATGTATCTTCTTGGGATATGGGAATGAAGAATTCGGTTATAGGTTATGGGATCTTGTAGCTAGAAAGATTATTAGAAGTAAAGATGTTGTCTTCTTTGAAAATCATAACATTGAAGACATTCGAAGAGGTAATAGACCTGATAATCCTAGAGAATATCCAGCTAACTTGGATCCAGTTCCTCCTCCATTGGAGCACAATGACGGTCAAGATGAATCCAATGATACTGATGATCCAGCTAGTGATCCTATTATAAATGAACCAGTTGATGATGACATGAGTGATGATCATACAACTGATGGTATAGGAGATGATGTAGTTGATGAGGGGCTAGAAGCACAAGCCCATGAAGAGCCAGCGGCCGAATTCCAACCAAGAAGATCGACCAGGGTACAGAGACCTTCGAGTAGGTATTCTTCAGATGATTACGTTCTCCTAACAGACGGGGGAGAACCAGAATGCTATAAAGAAGCATTAGCTCATGATCAACAAGATGAGTGGTTGAAAGCCATGCATGAAGAGATGCAATCTCTGCATGAGAACCACACCTATGATCTAGTGAACCTACCAAAAGGTAGAATAACACTCAAGAACAAATGGGTGTATCGACTGAAGACAGAAGAAAACAACTCTAAGCCCAGGTTTAAGGCAAGGCTAGTTGTGAAAGGTTTCAGTAAGAAGAAAGGAATTGACTTTGAAGAGATTTTCTCACCCGTAGTGAAGATGTCATCCATACGGGTTGTACTCGGTTTGGCTGCAAGCCTGAATCTCGAGATCAAACAGCTAGATGTGACGATAGCTTTCTTCACGGAGATCTTGAAGAAGAAATCTACATGGAGCAGCCAGAAGGATTCAAAGTCAAAGGAAAAGAAGATTTGGTATGTCGACTAAAGAAGAGCTTATATGGACTCAAGCAGGCACCTCGACAATGGTACAAGAAGTTTGATTCCTTCATGATTGAACACAGATATCGGAGGACTACTTCAGACCATTGTGTATTTGTGAAAAGATTGATGATGGTGAATTCATTATACTTCTTCTCTATGTCGATGACATGTTGATCATAGGACAAAACAGTGACAAAATTAGCAAGATGAAGAAAGAGTTGAGCAAGTCTTTTGCTATGAAATACTTAGGACCCGCAAAATGAATCCTCGGTATGAGTATATCCCGTGATAGAAAAATCGAAAGTTGAGGTTATCACAAGATAGTTATATCGAGAAGGTACTAAAGCGGTTTAACGTGGATAAAGCAAAACCAGTTTCTACTCCATTTCCTAGCCACTTCAAGCTTAGTTCAAAGCAGAGTCCTACATGTGAGAAAGAAAAAGAAAACATGGCTATGATGCCATATTCCTCAGCTGTTGGTAGTCTGATGTATGCAATGATTTGCACAAGGCCAGACATAACGCACGCAGTTGGCATTGTAAGCAAATTCCTGTCTAAACCAGGCAGAGAGCATTGGAATACTGTGAAGTGGATTCTCAGATATCTCAGGGGTACTTTCAAAATGAGTTGTGATTTGGAGGTGGAAAACCTGCATTGATTGGCTACACAGATGCAAACATGGCAGGAGATCTTGATTCCAGAAAATCTACTTCAGGATACCTGATTACATTTTCAGGGGGAGTAATTTCGTGGCAATCAAAGTTACAGAAATGTGTTGCTCTATCAACTACAGAGGCAGAGTTTATTGCAACTACTGAAGCGTGCAAAGAAATTCTCTGGATGAAGCGATTCCTACAAGAATTAGGGCAAGAGCAGCATAAATACATTTTGCATTGTGATAGTCAGAGTGCGATCCACTTGAGCAAGAATCCGAATTTTCACTAGAGGTCGAAGCACATTGATGTGCAATATCATTGGATACGTGATGTATTGGAGTCTAAGCAATTACAGCTTGAGAAAATCCATACTGATGACAATAGTTCAGATATGATGACCAAGTCCTTACCTAAGGACAAGTACGAATTTTGCAGAAGAGCAGTTGGACTATTGGAGCCCTCCACCAAAGTCGGGAGGGGGAGATTGATGGGTTTCCCTCGTTAGTGGAGGAGAGAAAAAGAAGGAAAATAAATATTAAAATAAAATGAAGGAAAGAACAGGAAAATTTGAAGAAAACGAATGGAAGAGAAAATGAGAAAAACTCTCCCTCATGTATGGCCACCAATTAGTTAGAAATGTTGGCTATAAAAGCAATTGCCTTCTTTCAGTTCAATGCATCCCTTAGAAAGCCAAAACTTAGATAGTTTTAAGAGATAAGAAAGCCTCTTGTGTGAGAGAGAAAATCCTCTTGAGAGAAAAACCAAGAGAGAGTTTATCCACCGGTGTTTGGAGTGATTATTATTGTATTCCCATTATTTTTCTTAGTGGAAGATAGAGTGTTAATTTTGCCCATTTTATTTACACAAGGCTAGGAGAAGTCAGATCCTGGGAGTGCCATATTTATTAATTGGCTCTTTGATTTTTTGCCATCTTTCCCAACACATCTACCTAAGAGTCTTGCCCATCAAGAAACTCTTAAGAAGTCCTTATTGCATTAGGTTTATAACATCTAATCCACAATTAAGATAGGAATCCTTCTAGCTCTTATATTAGCCTTAAAACACTAACTTTAATAAAGTTGCAGGTTTAGTTGTATTTGAACTCCTAATTGATATCAAGTCTTAGAATCCTTTGATGATTATAAGACCACAATTTAATGGGTTAGACATCTACACGTCTAACATTCTCCCACTTGGTCTAATGATCATCAAGAACTCAATATCAATTACTGTAAGACGTACGGAATTCAATTCAACTATAATTCCTAATCAAGTCACTGTCAATCAAAAGAACAAGCATGGAACTATCAAGACTTATTGAACATTTCAATATTTCAAGGTCTTTATATTTACACATACTAGCTCTCAAGATCACATGAGACTTCCGTCAAGATATTAGAATGCATAATGATTATGACCAAACTTAATTTGTGTTTACAAAAGGTCACTTTCATTCATACGCCCTCCCTTAAGAGATTACCAAGATCTCTCCTTAATGACTCTGGTATGAATTCATGTCTTATGCAGTGACTGTAGCTAGCTATACTGCATTATGACATGTAACTAGATTCATTTGTCAAGAATAATAAACATAAAACTGAAGTCACATAATTTATTAAAAGAATTGAACCAAACAGTAGTAAACAAAATAACTGAACTGTCTCAAAGCAAATAATGAAATTAAGTAGAATAAAACTCGGCTCTCATTGATTTTGTGTGAGAATGTGAAGGTAAGAGTCCCACATTGGAATGTTGAGAAACCTAGCAAGGGCTTATAAGGAGTTGGGCTACTCCCCCCATTGCCAATTGGTTTTGGGGTGGAACCTCAACTTCCTTCATGGTATCAACTGATTTTCCCTTTGCCATTCATATGATCATTATACAAAATATATATACAAGTATGTAGAGAACAATCTACAGTTACAACAAGCTATTATTATAAACATATAATAATGCCCCAGTTACATAAAAAAATTATAAAGAAAAGAAGACAATACCCGAGTAACAGAGAAGAAGAAAGGCAGTGCAAGAGAGCATTGAAGAAGACAGAGACCAACAATAAAATCAAAGAAAAAGATTGGGCTTAAGAGGGGAGGAAAACACAAGTTGAGCATAGATAGAGTGTGAGAGGTCGATACCAAGGCAGCAACATAGTGATAGGGCTTGAGTGGCCGATACCAAGTCGGCAAGGAAGAAAACAGGGGCTATGCAAAGGGAACATCGGCTGTGTAGCACGGTAGAGAAGGCTCGGTGAGCGTTGACGAGGCTCACGAAGGAAAGAGAGACAGCTTGATGAGCGATGACATGCAGCATCAACAAACAAGGGGAAAGTATGGAAACCATGATGAGAAATCATCATAAATACATGAGAGAGAAAACCCAAGATTGCAGACTAGGATAAGGCTCGCAGAAGGAAGAGAGATAGCTCGACGAGAGAGACGGCGCGATGGAGACAAAGAAGTGGATAAAGATTTCAAGTGGAGAAACCAACGATAGAGAGGTGTGGTCTCTAAGGGAAAGGAAAAGTTTGTTACTCTGTTTCAATAGAGAGAAGTGGTCCAACATTGATGGATAACAAGGGGCTAGCGAGCCAAAATAGGGATAGGCAGCGGCTGTGTAAGAGAACAACAATGGCAGGATAGAATGACATGAGAGAGATAAAAGCCGGTGAGGAGAAGACTTGGTGAGCGGTGACGAGGCTCGCGGAGGAAACAGAAATCTAGCCATCATGGCCAAGGGAGATAAATGGAGCTGCCGTGGGTTGCCACGAGAGAGCTCAATGAAGGAGACGGTCTGCAATGAAGACGGCGCAGCGGAGACACAAAAATAACGAGCTAACAGAAGAAAGGGTTGCGGTGGCAAAATAAAGGTGCAGCTACAGCTAAGGTGGAAAGAAAAAACATATTCATCTTTGAGAAGAAGAGAGGAAAAAGCACTATACATACAAACACCCTTATGAGTGAGGAGTGAGGAGCGCCAACGACTCTCAATGTTGGCAATTGGAGGATCGCTAGTCAGCGTTAGCCATTAGCTCTGATACAATATAGAAACTTATTTTCCCTTTGCCATTCATATGATCATTATACAAAATATATATACAAGTATGTAGAGAACAATCTACAGTTACAGCAAGCTATTATTATAAACATATAATATGGAGCTATGGCCTAATAATAACGTAACTGACAACTAACCATTTCCTATCCTTAGTAGAATTAAATATTGTAACTGAAATACTATTGTAACTACCTAATATTTTGCATATAGAAAATGAATGGCATAACCAAAATGGAATCAAATTTCCCATTAATACTTTTGGGAATAACCTCATACAGTATATCAATCAACCAATGCAATTTCCTTTCATTTACCTTCTACCTTACAAGCTTGAAACAAAACCTTAATGCTTATTAGTAATCACAAATTCAATGAAAGGTAAAAGTGTCATTGATTAACCACTGTTAACTGAAAATATGAATTAACAAGAACAATTAACACATAAACAATCTTTGTTTGTACTAGCCTTAAAACCCTTAATGAAGAACTGGAACATTAAGTGATTAATCATGAACAATCAAAAACTAAATGTATGCAACAAGGAAGATCATTGAATGCCCCCACTCATCAAACACATGTTTTGCACCAAAAATGCATCAAGAAATAAGTATAGAACAAATCATATTATTTTCACCGAAATCGTTTCCTCAGGATTCAACTTTACTTCCTTCAATTTATTTCTCAAAATAGCACTTTACTAACTCATATCTTGGAAAACATATAACATGTCATGCATATTGGTCTTTAGTTGAGAAATAACAAAACTGTAATGAATGCATTAAACTTTATTCACTCTATACTTTAAATATCAATTAAATTTTCTTTAACCAATACAAACTAAAAATTGTAAACATTGTAAGAACTTTAGTAGCCAAAACAAACAGCCCGTCATCCAAACATTAGTCATAACATATAGATGCATAAAACCAACACTTAAGATGTAAAACTTCAATGCGTCAAAAACCAGAAAACAGTTCCAAGTATGCTTCAAAACCTTTATGAGCTTTATCAAAATATAAGATAATAAGGTATTGAGTGTGAAGCCCAAAACTTTACATCACTTCTCCTACTTGGGCAAACACTCACTACTTTGCCACTTCAATATATAGTACACCAATAACCTTATGATTAGAAACACGGTGACAAAATGGTGTAAAAGAACTCTTAAGGTGTGCTCCTAATGTACTTCACAGTATAAGCCTAAATGCACAAAACTATCAAGAAATTTCCAGCAATGATATGTGATACTTGAGAATTTACCATAATTAATTTATAAGTCGGATTAGCATAAAAATTCATGGAAACAAACTAGAGACATTATTCTTCATATATAAAAATTATAGAAAATCATCCTTCTCGCCTAGTTTTGTCATTAGCTAATTCGAATTATAACTTCACCCTAATGGATGACACGTTAGCGTAGTTCAAAACTGAAAATTTGTCAACTAACAATAAACACCTCAAAATTTAGTTATCCTTATGCATTCTAACCATTCAACATTAAGTTCCATGTAGATGCAAAACAATTAATACCATATCACAAAGGTAAAATATAAAATATCACTTTATCAAGTTTAAGCACTTTGAGCAATCAATCTTTTGTATCTTTCGTATCTTATATATTGCAATGTGCCACTTTTGATTCAAAACAAAATTAGTGAGCCTTAATTAGAAGTGCAATTTGATCCACACAACTCATTCAATTAAGAAATAACAGTAATACAGTATTCGTAAACATGATCTAAGCTTCATATTGCATGACCTTACAAAACAACCAATTTATTTTATGATAAACACAACCTAATTAATCCAACTTTACATGATTCAATCCATCAAATACAAATTCATACTTTTAGACATGTGGATCAGTCCAACTATACATGGTTTAATCCAAATCACCTACGGATAAATCCTTTTACATGTGAAGTTGCATTGATGCTACAAAACATTCACTTAAATGCATACAAAAGACAACCAAGTCTCAAACATGTCCATACATCAACAAACAATATAGCCAAGCAAGAAAGTTCCAAAATAGCTCACGTTTCCCTTTATGTGATCAACCAAAATTATCTTTCCTTGAGTCATGAAAACAACTTTTATGTGAGATTTATCAAAACTGATAAATTAAGATCACTATTAATAAATTATCATCAACAACTCAATCATGTGAGATTTATCAAAACTGATAAATAGGACATATATCATGTTACAATCCATATGACAAAACAAAACCGTATATGTGCCTAATGGAGTTAAGGTTCATTGTGACATTCCGAAAAGTTTTTAAAACACAAACATATCTGAATAAGTTGTCCCATAGTGCTTGAATATCTGTACATTATTGATTCACACATGTGGGTTGAGAATCAAACATGTTTTTAGTGATCACCAAAAGAGTTGATATACGAATTTCTTTCGTAGGTTAAATTCTCACATCTGTGGATAGAGAGAAAATTCATATTTATTCACATATATTGTCTTTTGAATCACTCCACCATGAATATATATGGATAAACTATCCCCAAAATCTTTACTTAAATACGTTAATTTATACCTGTGGGTGTAAATTACCATATTCCAAAATCCCAGACAATAAACTGCACAAACTTCCTGATGCAGGACGCATATGACCTAAATTTATTAGTTTCCTAATGTATTTGTTAGTTTCCTAGATTCTCTAGTTTTCCCAATTCTAGTAGGATTTCTATTTTTCCAGATTTCCAGATTTTTTAGTTTTAAGTTTCCTATTTTATTTGGGTTAGGATTTCTGTTTTAGCAAGGGATTTTTATCCTATTATGTCTAGGTTTTAGTTTTCTATAAATAACCCCATGTAGTTCTTTAAAATTCAGATTTGAATGTTGAGTAAACCTTTTCCTAGAACTCTCTGATTTCGTCCTTTCGGTCTATATTTCTTCTCCTTGATATCCGATATTCTTCTTGTTCTACTGTTTCTATCCTTTATCTCGTCTTTTCGATCTCTATTTCTTCTCCTCGGTCTCTTATATTCTTCTATGTTCTATTGTTTCAGTGCTTAATCTAATACATACAGGCTGTACTACATCACTTCCTGTGCAAGAAAATTCACATTTGTGGATGTAGAGAAGACCTGCTAGTTTATGCAGTCTGCTATCCAGATTCTTCCATCATATTGTTATCAATCTGTACAATTCCCATCTGTGGATGGAGAATAATACAGAAGGCTACTAATATAGATGCAATTATTGACCAAACTGTCGAATGAAAACCACTCTTGTAACAGCTAAGCCGCTGTGGCTTGCTTAGCTTATGCAATTGAGATTTTTAGTCTTTGATCAATAGCCTTTCAAGCATGAATGATAAAGACTTTATATTGAAAAAATGAAACAAAAGATTAGTAAACGATACATGCTTTTGTAGCTTTCAGTTTTAGGTTTTAGCTTTCTGGTTTGGTATACTTTACAACCTGCCCACATGTTTTCCCTCAAACAAAACACAAACCATAAGGCAGAAGAAGACAAATCGAAAAGCAGTGAAATCTTCATGCAATCATTTCATATTCAACAAGAAACATTATACCCCTAATCCTTAAATATGGAAACTTGGTCAGAGATAGCAAAAAGGAGAAAGAAGCCTTTGCAATGTGCCGCCCAATTGCAAAGTAGCAGAAGAGATGGATGATTACTTTCGGTTCTAAAACATGCAACCTAGGCTCTGATACCACATGTAAACTTTATTAGTGACTGCACATGATAGAACACACATCAAGAATATACAAGAGCACATCTCCTCAATCCGATCCCTTCATACACTTATTCTAGATTGGGTGAATTCTTTTGTGTGGGTTGGCTTGATCGATTGAGCAAGGGCACTTGCATTTATATGCATCTACCTAAGAGTCTTGCCCATCAAGAAACTCTTAAGAAGTTCTTATTGCATTAGGTTTATAACATCTAATCCACAATTAAGATAGGAATCCTTCTAGCTCTTATATTGGCCTTAAAACACTAACTTTAATAGAGCTGCAGGTTTAGTTGTATTTGAACTCCTAATTGATATCAAGTCTTAGAATCCTTTGATAATTATAAGACCACACTTTAATGGGTTAGACATCTACACGTCTAACACTATTATCCAAAACCCCAAATCCAATTTTAGCAAACTTACTTAAGAGAAAAGCATAAAATTTATAGACATGATCAGTTGAATGATTTTTTGATTAAATGCCCTCAACTTGAACTTTCTACTACTGTTGTATGATTTTTCTATTTTTCTACTACCGTATCAATCACACGGCCGGTCCATTGATGTTGGAAGCCCTATCCAGAGAGTGAAGTTAAGGCCTTGATTTTCTCAAAGAACAAAAACGTTGTTGACAAATTTATGAACAAAGCAACATTATTTTCTCATTCAGGGTGGATTTTTATGGGAAAAGCTTAAGGGTTAAATCTAAAGATTAGGATTTAAAATACAAACATTGACATTAGGTTAAAAAGTTCAAACTTAAGGATTCACCTGATTTTTCTAGATTCAACATCTTAGTTAGAGAGAGAGAGAGAGAGAGAGAGAGAGAGAGAGAGAGAGAGAGAGAGAGAGAGAGAGAGAGAGAGAGAGAGAACAAGGAGGCCCATTTTCTTTTGTCCAAAAGCCTCTTTCTATATAAACTCTGAATTTTCTTGTAAAAGTGGGCTGAAAAAAAAACATTTGGAGGCTCTAAATATTTGGGGGCCCTGTGTTATCGTCCAGCCTGCACAAGCCATAGGCCAGGCCTAATATCAATGCTCCAATAAGCAGTAGTATAGATTAAGGAACATGTAGGTGTATATTTCCACTTGAGTTATAACATGTATAAGATTTTGTCTTCGAACTTGTCCGTGGAGTTACATTGGCTATTTCATGCTTTCATTACTTGCTTTTGGACATAGTGTACTAGATTTATGATGTTTTTGGTCATGCAAGCAATACATGGCTCTTCAAAAAATAATCTATTGCTTTCTCCACTATGCTTACTATTTCGCCTTCCAACTCACTCAAGGAGTGATACATTGGGTCTTTCATTTCATGGTACACTACCTGTTTTTGAACACAATGTACTAATTTTATGGTACATGGGAGCAAAAATAAGTAACTTATCGCTTTCTCCACGTTATGTATACTATTACGTTCCAATTAACCAAAGGAGTGATACAATATTGGGTCTTTCATAGTACACTACTTGTGTTATGCACACAATGTACTAGCTTTATGGTGTTGTGCGTTACTAGTACTACACGGGAGCGAAAAGAAGTAGCCTATCTACCAGTTTGCCTTCCAACAAATCCAAGGAGTGATACATTTGGTCTTTCACGGTACACTATCTGTTTTTGCACCCAATGTACTAATTTTATGTTGTTGTGTGTCGTCAATTAAAGTGGTATTGGACCAAAGTTCCATTCTCTTCAAAGGTGGTTAATTAGGTGGCCTTTCATGAAAATTTCAAATTGCTCTCTATGGCCAAACTCGAACATGTTACCCAAAATGTTAAATAATTATAAAGTACAGGCCCGGCCCACATGTTGTACTGGCTAGGCGATGGCATAAGGCCCCTAAAAAAATGGGGTCTTCTGTAACACCTTTTAACCCAAGAGATATAGTAGCAAAAAGGCCTTTTATGTGTGTAACTTATGCATATTTGGTTTTATTATAAATTTTTTGTACGCATTTTTTTTAACTTTTCATGTAATGGGCCTATTTTACATAAACTAACAAACTAAAGTTTGAAACTTTTATTTAAATTTTTGTTCAAAATAAGGTAACTATTGAACATAAAAGGTCTCAATTTTTATTTCAGTCTAGGGCTCCAAATCAATGGACCAACCCTGATAAAAGAACGCGTCAATATCATCTCAACATACATATAACATGTGGCTTGATGATCAACCAATAATGGGGCCACAAATTACAACCATTTGAAAACATCAAAGTACCACTTCAAAACTTTATTGTGCATATATATATATATATGTATGTATGTATGTATAAGAAAGGTAGACATTAATTACACCTTCAGAATACCAAACATTCAAGCTTAGAGCTTATAAAGTTGTGGAGCCCGGATATCAAACATTCATGATGAAGATATACTTCATTGTATGATGTATGAATGTTCCTTTTTCTCAGACATTTCAAGACTTCTGCAGTAGAACACGTCGTCGATATTCTCCGAGAGCCCATACCGGAAAGATATTTCGATATATTGCGTAATGCAATATACAATGCCTCATAAATAGTCCAGTAATTTCCTATAATGATACATGAAATAATATCAAAATATTTATATGAATATAATACACACAACAAAGAAGAAACTTGTGGACAAAATAGGTTTATACGAATCACCTGTTCAGGGAAGTCACCATCCTCCATTTGTGAATTGATCAATAACCTCATTCCACGATGGATGGGCGTTGGATCTATGTCGGCCTGAATTGACGACAACAACAAAAATCAAATATACATTACAAAAGCTGAACCGTATATTCCTTACCCAAAAAAATAATACTAAACGAATGGCAAGAACAATGAGTTTCTTAAACTACCTCCTTAGACAAGCATTTCCCTAAGATTTTTAAAAATCTATATGCCTTTGGATAAAACAAGAAAATCCTTTTAAATCAACCGAATATTTTACCTGTCCAGCATTAATGAGGGCTAACAAGGCCCAAGCAGTCTGGACCAAATGAGCACGGTTGCCTTCTCGATTAGTATACACCTATTTTTATTTTTTCAAGATAGAAAGAAAAATAAGAGAGATGAATGTATAATATCGTGTGATCTATTATGGCTATATATGGATAAGTTATTGAATCAAAAATAAGAAATTCAATTACGAAAGAAATTATTGTATGATACTGAAATGCCGACTATACTATAATTACTCATATAAACAACATGAAGATATTTCCATGGCGTTTATCTTGTTTTTGGTCAAGGCATGGCTATTATCTCTATGTTCCTAATTATGTTAGGATCGATAGATAATAATTGACAAAGAGAAAGAAAGTACATTGCATTGCATACCCTGGTTTGGCTAGAAAGATAACTCTCTCCCCATCCTCCATTAATTAGCTGCTTTGATAGTAAAAACTCACAAGCTTTCCTCATAATTGTGGGGCTATTGTGGTGGTTCTTCCCACAGGCTATTAGCGCCTCTGTAGCAAACCATGTAGCATATGTGTAGCAAATACCCCAACGTCCAAGCCTGTTAAAATGCCAATTATCCTCTATGTGTTAGAAAACAATTAGAAAAATTAATTATTTTACGCTCAAATTAAGAAATTATTATATAGTATTGGAATGCGACCATGTGGTTAAATTCGTCCATGTGTTATCAATTTTTGGTTTCCAATCCCTCGCTATAATAATATGGTGTCTGAAATAAAATAAATTACCATGAACCATCAGGATTTTGTGTGTCTTCAATGTAACGAATTCCTCTGATATGCAACTGTCTATTTCTATGCTTCGATGCTTGGGATGCAATTTCCTGAAGAGCACTAAAACTTGAACTGCTGATGATGTGCACTCTACGTACCTGGAATATTTAAAGCCCCATTAATTTGCAAGTGTTAGAAAAGCGGAATTAGAGAGTACCTATGTGTAACAGAAGTTTTTTTTTCTTTCAAGAATCGTACTCTCGTTCGATAAGACTATCTTCGAAGAACTCTATGGGGTTGAACTTCTGCAAAGAAGAAATAGAAATTGTTGAACTGTATGGCCTTGCTAAGTTCATCCATATATCGCTTGTATTATTTAAAAAAAAAAATTACAAAATTGCTATTGTGCATGTATACATTTGGAGGGTTAAAATTAATTACCTCCACCCAACGGGGTGCACTTTGAGGCTCCCATGCAGTAAAACCACCATTGGTGCTCTGTATTAAAAATTAATTAAAGGAAGGAAATTCATTTAATTAGCTAGCAATTCGATGTGTATCATAGTTGGTTTTTTCCTTACTTGCAAAGAAAGAATGACATTCACTGCATTGTAGAAACATTCTGTTTCCATTTTCTCTCCAACAAGATCTGGTGACATTTGCGAGAGCAGGAGTGCAGCCTGTAATTGAGAAAAGAATGCGATGCATGATGACTCAATATTGTTCATTATTTAATTAACAAATTGTCCATGTTGAAAAGTATAAGTATATAACGAGAAATTATTGACACTCTCCAAACTAATCATCCAGCACTTCCCATCCATCTTCTATACAAACATAAACAGAGTGCATTAGATTTTCGGAGTGCCAATAAAAATTCCCACGTTACAACAATGACATCTTTAACGTAGAAAAACTCTATAAACCTTTAATCCTTCCGCAGTGCAGTCGGAGACTTGCCAGCCATGATCTGGAATTGAGAATGTCCATGCACCTTTAGATATGTGTCGGTGCATAGCAGTGAAGTTGCCAGAAGGATTGTCTTTAACCTTAATTCAAAATAACGTGTATGATTAATTACTTATTGATTATATAAAAGTATTATATATGCATATATATATATATATATATATATATATATATCACCATTTAACCTGTGAAGCCTTGATGAAGTCATGTGCCTTCCGAAGTGTTGGCCCAAACTCTTCGTTTACGTTACAAGAGAGTATTGCTTGAATTGCCAAAGCTGCATCCCACGTTTGACTGCCAAAGCTCTATATATATACATAGTACAAAAAGGCATATGTGGCATCATTACAAAACATACATTTAATTATATATGTTCGGAAACAATAATGCTACGTGTACCACATTTACTAATCACCAAATGACCCCACCAATACATATGGAACCCACCTGTATAAAGAGGTGGTCAAAAAACGTGGTACAAATTGCAATGGCCATTGGGAAATTCATTTATCAAAACACATGCATACATGTTAATTTATATATCGAAAAATCTTCTCTTATCATGCAAATTACATTAAACTCAAGCTATGCTCCTGGGAAGTAGAAAAACTACTGGAATGGAGCTGGAGGGGTTGGGCTGAGAGTTAGGCATTGATTAAGAAGTGGGCTAAAGTTACATATAAAAAAAATATATTAAAAAAAAGTGAAGAAATTTGGGCTGTGGGCTGGGCTATAGCTCATACAACTCACAATTGTGTCATGCCCCTAAATTTAGACTATTGATTAGGTTAATTTTTATCTGTATTTATGATTTAGGTTTACAGTTTGACAAGTGAACATTACTATAGTCTATATATATATACTAAGAACTAATTAGTCGTAACGAAAAGAAGATGAGCAATATGAAGGCTTGGCATAAAACTGGCAACGTGACTGGACTGAACAGGTCAACTTGGTTCGAATTTTGACCAAAATTAGTGAAGTGTTTAAGAACATAATATAATCGATCCAACCCAGTATGGGTCATGATTTACCCTTTTATAATATAAAGAGCTTCGACCCATAAAATTCATTTTAAATCACCTACAACTCTTTCTTTTAGTTTTCTATTTAAAATACCCAATTTTTTCAAATAATACCCGATAACTAGGATCCAACTAAGCAAGTTACCTAATATAACTTAAAATCTGATTTATTGTATTTTTTGGATTCCAAAACTACCCATATTTATAAGTTAATGTGTTATAGGAGGTGTGACTAATGACACCCGTTGAATTTGGAAATATCTCCAAATAGTTGTAATGGATGTATGAACTAATTTAAAAACTTATTTGAAATTAAATATTAAATTCCACATTAAAGTATTAGTAATTACGACTAGTAATCTATTTTTGAATTAATTGTGTTTACTAGTAATCTATTTAAAGTATTAATAATTAAATTCAATATTAAATTTAGGAATTAATGTTGTTTTCTTTTTATGAATTATACAACAAGTATTCTTTTTTTATTATAGTTTTATGAATAATAGTGTACATTCTAATTATGTTGAAAAATAATTTGATAATCTATTTATTGTTTTGTTTTTAAAACATTTTTTTTAATGAACCTATTTTTTCTCCAAATATTGTACCTAGTAAAACAATTTACCTAGTATAATGAACCTATTTTTTTTCTCTAAATAATGTACCTTTTTTTTCTCTAATAATGTATATCTAGTAAAACAATTTACCTAGTATAATGAACTTATTTTTTTTCCTTCTAAATAATATACCTATTTTCAATTTATAAAAAATGTGCATAAATTTCAATTATACAACGTACCTATGACTCTCTTCATCTCCTCCTCACTCATAGTCTGAGCCTTTACGTTCCTCCACCCTAATCTCCTTTCTCACTCATAGTCTAAGAGCCTTTACATTACTCCACCCTAATCTCCTTTCTCACTCATATACTCCGTAGTTCAGCCACCCGCTATATTGCATCGTCTCACTTCTAGGATTTTAGTGATTAAATTATAAAAATATGTAATAGAAAAAAAATCGGCTCAGCTTATCTGATATCAAACCGACCAATTCGGTTCAGCTACATACTTCATTTTAGACCAAACTGGGAACCGTACCAAACTGCTTGGGTAATACGGTCCGGTTGTCGGTTTGGTGGGCAGATTGTGCAAACCAACTCATGTATAGTATAATTACCTGAATTTTCAAGCCATCTTCAGCAACCCAAAATAAATCTGGTATTCTTGCTAGATGAAGTTTGTAAGCTTCTGAATTTGGATCCTCAACCCAACAAGCAATCATAGACAATGCCTGCAATTGAATTATGCTATTAATTAATGAAGAGAACTCTCTTTCTCACCTCAGAAGAGGAAAAGGAAAAATATAACATTCAATTTTTAAAATCTTGCTACAGAAAATCTCATATACTAACCACAAAAAATAAAATAAATAAATAAATAAATAAAAATTAACCTTCAACTAAAACACCAACTAGCTTTTAGTTTAGCGGTACCGACTTGCTAGCTAATGAATGATTAGGAACCAAATTAATTATGTTACACATACCTTTGGGAGATTTCCCATGGAAAAATATCTACTATTCTCGTCCTCATAATGTACGTGCTCAATTGCAGCTTTCAGCGCCTTCTCTCTCAAGCTAGAAAATGGCCAACGACTGAGAATTGGTTCAGCAACATGGTGAAGAAATCCCCATAGAATATCTTGCATCAGGGGAGTTGGATAGCACTGATCCTCCTGATCAAATAGGATTGGATTAAACACTTTATTTATTATATAAACAAGTTTACTATATATATATATATATATATATATATGTTTTTTTTTCTGTTTATGTATGAAACCATGAAGTAATGTACCTTGGCAACCTTGTTCCGGGCTTTAGCCCAGTTTATTTCATGGTAAGGCGTAGTGTAGAGCTCTTGTCTTAGTGATCGAACCAATCCAGTAATTGGACCAACAGACTTCTTGCCATATAAGTATGACATTGGCATGGAGACAGTCCGGGCAAGGCCCAACATTTTTCCTGTGTTCATAATTATACTATCATTGTTTTCTATTTTTAAAAAGAATAATATATAACTGGTCAGATTTTCTCCTACATGGACGTTGTGCAGATGTCATGTATTTTCTACTACCCTTCCCTGCTTTCCTCTCTATTTACAATGGAGTCCACGCAATAATAATATGTGGATGTATGTCCGAATGAGAGAATAGTTGTTATATTGGGAAGTATTCTCTGTTGGAAAATTTAATATGAACTAATATTGATTTTCCTATTTGAATGGAAATTAATAAAATCCATTGGGTTAAAGACATGACCCTTGGGTTAAAGACATCTTCACACGGGGAGTAACAACTCTTCAAACTAAGGGATGCATTGTTTGGGGTGACAACAGAGATGCATTGTTTGCCTTTTCATATTGAGATACCTTTTAGAAAGGGTATTTCATCATCTATAAATAGAGCAATCCTCCTGCAGTTTTATGGATTCAGTTTAATTCTCTACATACAGACTTTCACATTTAGAAAGCATTAGAGTTTTCATAAAGAGAGGTTCCTGCATAATTTTGGTTCAAAGTTCCTTGTGAATTGTAGTGCTTCTTTCACAAGGAGGGGAGTCGTTGTATCCTGGGAGGCGAACGCTAGTGAACCATAAGCACCAGTGTGGGGCGTAATTCGTCTTAAGGTCAGAGTGTCCAACACTTGCCTCGACTCAATTAAGGTTCTTCTAATTCAATTCTCCTTTTGTAAAAATCTGTTTTATGTGCAGTATTTATTTTGTTTATTTTATACCAATTTAGCACTCATTTTTCCAACATTCTCATGTTAGTACGATATGTTTATGTTGTTAGACTGTAAACTTGAACTATTTAACATTTGAGTATTAGTGCTTTAAAAAATGTCAGAGTACTTTCATTTAGGGATAGGAGTTTAAGTTCTAATTCTCAGGTCTTGGCTTTAGAGGGTAGAAACCTAACTTCTAAGCACTTAAGCGGTTTCTGCACTATTATTTGTGCTCTAATTCTGCATGTGTTTCACCTGCTGAACTCGTATGCACGCATACTATGCTAACTGTTTGAACCACTTTAATATCTCACCACTACTTGCATTCAATCGACATGTTTCCGGTAGTAGCTCGCTTTGAATTTACTGAAATAGTCAAGAGTAAGTAACCAAGCATTCTCATCTTATATATATTTATATACTTTAGCAGCAGCTTCAAAACAAAAGATGTGTAAGTTTTCATGACCAACCTGGATGGATGGGAGATGTTTTTGGTAGAAGCCATAACTCAGGCGGCGTAGGGTTGCAGCCTGAATACTCGTACACACCTAGCACCTATATCACGCATATGCATTTGATAAGGCTTTCAATTTTTGTAACATAATTGACAAAATATCGTGTACTTATATGAAACATTCTTTAATCATTTAGTGGTACAGTTTGGTCATTTAATTATGCGAACCTAATTACAATTAGCTCCCTTAAATAGAAAAAAAGACATTTTCAATTTTTACTTTTTCTTGTTGTCAGTGTGAGAGTGATAATTTCATTTGGACAAAAAAAAAGTTCCAATATTATGAATCGATCATATATTTGGAGTCCAGATCTACTGTCCCCATTTTCACAAAATGCAACATTTTGTGAAAAATCAAAAGTCCAAAATGGCAAGTTTTGCTCTCCAAATAATCAAAAGTTGGTTAGACTTGTGACCTAACATTATTGATTAGATTTGAGAAAAGAAACTAGAAGGATTGCATCTCCAAAATTTGAAATTCTTAACTAAATTTTCTGTAGAAAATTGATGTGTACGTACAGAAAGAAAAAACTTTCCCCAGGAAGGGATTCCCTCTGCACCACCATGGTCAAGAATCCATTTTCTGGCTCTAGCCATAGCCCTGTCTTCACCATCATCAGGACCCTCTCCAAGCAGCCTTAAGGCAATGTAGTTTTGCGTTGACCCAAATATTGTGCTTTGACCTTCTATGTGCAGCCCCCAACCTCCATCTTCATTCTGCCCAAATTTTTCGTTAAAAACAAATTTTCTTATGCAAATGACTAGTCATAGCTGAAATTAATAAGTACCTGATGATTGTATAAGTAGCGAATCATTTCCTTCTGGTGTTGTTGTCCTAAAACTGCATTAAGCGATCCAGTCACGTACAATGCTATTATCTGCGTGAGTGCATAAATGGATGTATTAATTATCTCAATGATGTCCTTTTATTTTATTTTTTAAGTTTAAGGGACATTTTTGTAGAGCCCATATAGCGCTAAACATTCGTTTAGGCCCACCGTATAATGTCATCATATGATCAAAACTGTTTATTTTTAGATCAACATTTAAAGATCACCCTTGCAAAAATGTATCCAAATTAGAAAATATTTTAGTCATCTAACTATGATCAAATAAACAGACAACCTATTATAAACAATGAAAAATTTCACGGTAATAATCAAATGGTTAAATGATTTTCGATTTGGCTAATTATTTGCAGAGATTTTCCTTGAACGATGATATAAAAAAGAAGAAGAACAATTTTGATCATGAGAGTTGGCATTGTAGAGTGGGCTACACGAGTAGTTAGCACCGTATTAACTTACGAACTAGTTAACACTTGAAACTATATGCATGTACATGAATTTGTTACGTACAACAGAAGAGAGATCTATTACCGTAGGTGGAAGGAAAAACAAGGGACCAGCAGATTCAACAGCCCAATGACCGTCATGGGTTTGAATGGAAGAAAAGAAGCTAAGAGCCCTTCTCAGTGTAGTTGTTATTGCTTTTTCTGTTATCTCCTCCGTTTCCTCCACCTTCACTGGAGCTGGTATGGGTCCACAGTGGTTTTCCTTCCTAAGCTGTGAGTTTAAATTCCGCATCAAAGATTAATATGTAGTTGTTCATTTCGTTACAATCAGTAAACGACTGTCATGTTACGTCAGATCAGTTGGTAAAAAAGTTCAGATAATAACTAGTGCTACTAAATAAAATAAAAAAAATCTTGAACTTCACAAAATCTAATGTGAAAAATTAAGTTGAATATTTATCAAGAAAGAAAATGCTCGAATATTAACCATATGATCATAACATACATGTTGAAAGAACTACGAATCGTAATCGTTGTGGTAATTGGATCTCTGTCTGTCATTTAGATTCAGTTATTAATATATAGATAGTCTGATAAGGTTTCATCATACACACCTGCAATCTCATCAAAAGATCAGCACTTTGTTTGATTCGAAACCGGTTTTTCTTAAAATTCTCACGAACCCTTTCGACTTCTTCTCGTTCTTCCTGTGTTCCGGCATCTGGATCAAACTCCCAATGTTGTCGACCTACGTGATTGTTTACGGTAGTCAACCAAGGTCCACCTTCGGCTATCTTCAACTTCCACATTCTATATACAAAGAAAAATGACGAGATCATCAAATCCTACGTTCATTATTTTTGACGAAGTAATACTTATAGTTTATTAATTAACTAACCAAGTTTTCAGGCTAAAAGCTTAACTATCTTTACCGATCAACCAGCTAGCCATATGCATGGCATTGGAAGCTGTTATTATGATCATATTAACAAAGAATATAACATACATATATACAACATAATGTAAATTCTAGTTTGGATTCTGCCTTATTCGCCAGCAAATTATGGTTTGACATATGCGCAACAATAATTCATAAAAAATAACCTAAAAAAGTAAACTTCCACACACATGTCAAACTGTTTTAGGCTCCTCAATTGTAAATAAGGAGTGCCAGAACCAGAGGTTGAAGGCTGCGCAGTGCATTTGGAGAAGAGTTATGGGCTTCTTATATAGGAGAAGCGGCCGGGGTTGGGGTGGGGGGCACTGTAATTGTGAGTCCAGTTGAGTAATGAGGCGGTGGTTAGGCCGAGCTCCTCCATGTGGGGTTTCAGTGCTCATATTAATTTCTTATCTCCATTACTGCTAGTTAATAGGATCGTGTACGTACCCACCTTCTTTCGGCATAACCTAAAAAGAGGGTGTACTGTGCTGTCCTTAGCCTCTACATCTTTTGTTGACACAAACCATAACGAGGGTACTTACGTACAGTGTCTCTTTATGGTCATTCAAAAAATAATAATAAAAACAAACCTTTTAATGCAATGTTAATAATTACCACCAAAACCAAAAAGGAAGCAGTGCAGTGTTTATTATTTGTTAGATTTTTCACTAAATTTTGATACTGAGTAAATAAAAATTAAATGAAAAAAGAAAAACTAAGTAAACTTTGTATTTCAAAAAATAAATGAAATTTGGATTTTCTCCAGGGGGTTTTTATGGCAAGGTTTTAACGAGGTTACTTTGTAGCACCTAGAGAGGCCATGATCTCTAGTTGTATTGTTGATGTTTTCAGTATGAATGAAAGCTCTTGACTTGATAAAAATAAAATAAAATTTCTCTTAAAGAAATGAAGTTTTAAAAATAAAAACTAGAAAGATAGAAAGAGTTGCAGCAAGGATGGTTGTAATGTCGCAATCCACACTGATGAGGGTGTTTGAGAATGCTTCTTCTAGATGTGCTTATGTAGAGCCAGCCCTCGCCCAAAGAAACAAGGGCCACAACCTGAGGGGCCACAAAAATATTTCTAACTGCAATCGTCCCATATGAAAGAAACAAAATCTAGGCCATCCGCTTGTTTTGATCGTCGGAGCAGAGGTGGCCCAAGTTGCGTGTTGTGAGCACAAACTATTTGTCTAGTAATAGCATTTACAATCGTGTGCAAATACTATTTGTTTAGGAGCTCTTTATGAAATTTCAACTCCAACTATACTCCTTAGTTTAGAGAGTCATAATTAATGCTATTAATTAATTTATTTATAATTCAGTTTTTGAATAAAGTGTAGACATAAAAAAGCAATAAAAATTAAATAGCATTGATAGGGAGCATGGTTGCAAGGGTGGAATTAGGAATTTTTCGACGGGTGGTTTTAGGAATTTTTCGACGGGTGGGTTAGCTAAAATAAAAGTATACATTAGATCATATAAGTTACGCTAATTCATAGCTTCATTAACTAATTTTCAATCAACTTTAATATAAAACAAATACATATTAAATGTAATAAAAAATACACATTATCAAAATGAATATATGTTCAACAACATAATTCCAATTGTACCTATTGAAGTTGTGCTCCGTGCGATCCTTGAGAAAATTGAAAAAGATTAAAACTTGAGAATTAGGTAAGGACTTTACCCTTACTATGGGTATTGATGATGAGATCGACTTTGACGGCATAGAATACAGAAAGGCAACATAAATTTTTTTGGGACCGCTAGGGGCTAAGTTTCACATATTTTTTTTTTTAAAAAAAAAAAAAAAAAAAAAAAAAAAAATCATACTTCATTAATCATTATGTGGTGGGACCAACTAGGATAATAGGATTTCATTATAATTGTAGTCAAACTTGCAAACTTCATTATGTGGAAATCGATAAGAAGCCACACAAGATGAATTTCCATTTTCCATATATAATTGTATATATATATATATACTTCCATATATATATATATATCCAAGCATATCAAACATCTCTCTTCTAATAAGCTTCTATTTTCTTGAAGCATCAAGTGATGAATTTCTATGGCATGTTGTACTACATATATAAAAAATACCAAAACATGAATATCATCTAGCCACACAACACATATCAATCAGTCCAAACCGGAAAAGGAAAAAAACCAAAAAAGAATTCATTGCCACATATCGTAGTTCCCATGGTGGACAAGGAGCTGTATAAGATTACACCAGAAGAAAGTGCAACAATTCAGAATCAAAATAAGAATCGCAAACATACTGCTGTAGAAGACCGCATGCACGTGGGGTACTAAATAATTAGGGGCTTAAGGCGGACTCAAAAGAAGAGTCCAAAGATCCAAAGGGTTCACTTCATGCTCTGAGATCTTAGAAATTGGGTAAAATATTCCGAACCAAGGCTAGCAACATTCAGTCCTTTCCACCATGGTAAACCAAAGTAGGAGCATGTAGAGGTTTTTAAGCTTAAATTAGTTGCAAACTTTGTCAAAGACAATGAGCAAAACGATGAAGCTTTGCTGAAGAAGGCTGAGAAGAACATCAAGGAACTAAGGGAGTGCTATGATGAGGAAGCAACAAAGGACTATGACGACAAGTGCCTCAAGTGGATGTGATGCGTGCTTGATGTCGTTGGAATTCATATACAAATATGATAAGTTAGAAAATTTTAAGATCAAGAGAGAGCATGTGGCCTTTACAAAACAGGACATGTTCATGCTAGAGAATCAACTTCCTTATAAACTCCTCAAGGTTGATGAGCTTGAGCTACATACATGAGGACTTGCATTACTCAATCGAGATTTTTGTTCATATGCACGGAAGAGATGATATCAAGCGCCAAAGCAGAAGGCACAACCAATTCATATGTTCGTCCCCAATCTTGTCGCAGTGTACAAGAGCTTACATGCAGTGGGGATCCATTTTAGGCCTCGTATGGGCAACTCCTTTATCTTCCTAAAATAAAAGTAGATGACTCGACGGGACCTAAGTTCATGAACTTGATAGCCTATGAAATGTCTAGTGATTTCCAAAGCAATTTAGGGGACGTCACCTCTTACATATGCTTCCTCCATTTGCTCATTCATCATGTTGATGATGTGAAGCACCTCAAGGAAAAATTCATACTTGAAAACTCACTCAGGAGTGAGGAGGATGTGGCTCAACTCTTCAAGGAGAGGGGCATTCAATTTGTACCTAACAATGACATTTACCGCATTGTTAAAACCAAAATAGAAGATCACTGCACAACTAAGTGGAAGACATGAATGGCTAAATTCATTCGCAACCATTTTAGCAGTCCCTTGGATTTCCTAGGCGTAGGTTTCAGGATCATCTCATCTAATGTTTAGCATTTTTTTTGGGGAACTAAAATTACATTGGCTGCTTTCCAATTTTTGTGTTGCATAGTTGTTCATATACCCCAATTATGATGTGATTCTTATAATAAAATAATGAATAAAACCGATATGTATTGTTTACGTATATTTTTGTGTGTGGCATTTTCAGAAGTTTGTTGTAATTAAACCCAATATTAATCATGCATATTACATGTTGGATGTATTTTTTAAAGCATTTCCAAATTTTATGAACTATTGCAAAAGGGATCTCATATTGTGACAGCTTTGACTAATAAGATTATGTGAGATCCAATGTGTTTATTAATGCAATAGATTGATATTATTGGTTGTGGGATTTAGGAAACGCACGAAAGGGGCATAAAAATTACATTCAATGTGTAGGAGGCTTTATGCAAATATAACATAAAAAGTAAATAAAAAATAGCCTTAAAGAGAAAACCTAGCTGCACTCTCTCACTCTTGAGTCCGAAAGAAAACACCCAATAGAGGAAGAGGAGGAAGAAGCATAATTGCCCCCTCCTCTCCTTTTGAATGAGAAGCCCTTTGTGGTAATTTCTTCTTAGCCATACTCAGATCAAAATACCCCATCACCTCTTTTGGGCTATTTCTTCAATCAAATCCTTCTCCTAAAACCATATCTCTAATACTTCTCTTTATCTCGAAATTTAATTTTAGTTCCACCTTGTATATGAAGGAGTTTGCTACAATCTACCAATTTTTTTTTTTGCCATAATTGTTGGATTGACTATTTGTTCGCTACTATACGCAATTAGATTATTGGAAACCATGTTTTCCCTAGATCTATCACATATGTTTTGTTTTCACTTCTCTAGGTGTTCTTATCTGGGCTACATTCTGATGGACAACAATGTGTTTTGACAATGATAAATTCTGCATTGCACTATAATGCATTCACTAAATTTTTGAAGATTATGACTAGTCATCTTTCCTTCGTATGACTAGTCAACCTTTAAATTAAAAAATTTATTTTATAATTAAAAAAGATAATGGGTAGTTGTGTTCTATAAAAATATGATCCATTATCTTATTTTTCTTTTAATTTTATTTTTTTAATATGAAAAAGTGTGAATTTACCGTATTATCCTCATTTAATTAATAATTTCAGTTCTTAATATTTACATTAACCAATAGCAATTTATACTATTTTGAATGTTTTACCACCTCTGCCTTTTACTTTATATATATACTGCCTCTCTGCACGCGCTTCTGTGCCTGCGAGAGGCTTGTTGTAAAAAAATTTAGATTTATTTTAGAATTAAAAAAAATAATAGGTAGTTGTGTTTCATAAAAATAGGGTTCATTATCTGATTTTTTTTAAAAAATTTTTTAAATAAGAAAAGTGTGAATTTATCATATTATTCTCATTTAATTAATAATTTCAATTCTTAATATTTACATTTATTAAAAATATTTTCTAATATTTTGAATGTTTCACCATTTTCTACTATTTACTCCATACATATAGATATATATGTCCTCGAATTATTACGACAATAAAATTACAACGGAAAAATTGACAACATTGAATTACTGGGACGAAAGTGAAAAAAGGGGCCAAATGGGACTATTTGCCGAAAAAACCCATGGTAAGATTCTCATACCAGCACACTTGCCAGCGCCCCAAACCCAAGTGCACTTTCTCTCTCACAGTCAGTCAGGCTCAGGAGGACTCAGGAAAATCCAACAGAGAGAAGAGAGGGAGAGATGGAAGGTGACGTAGAGGCGAATGGCGATGCCAACGGGGAGATTTTAGGGCCTTGCTTGACTGGCTATGTAGACGACGGTAGCCCAGAGAGCCACAGATACTACCTGTCACGCAGAACCGTGCTGGAGATGATAAGGGACAGAGGCTATTCTGTTCCAAGCTCAGAAATCGACCTCTCTCTCCAAGAATTTCGAGCCCTTCACGGCCAGAATCCGGATGTTGAGCGCCTCCGCTTCTCCGCTACTCATCGCACTGACCCTTCTGACAAGGTAAATAAACAGTTCTCTCTCTTTTTCTTGAATTTCTTTTATTTTCTTCTTGCATTGACCAGAGAATGGAAGAAATCAAAGAAAGAAGAATTTCTGGTTCTGGGTCGTTTTCTTTTTCTTCATTGTTGTGCTTGGGATTAATTATGTTAAGGATTTTGAAATCGATATGGTTCACAAAGTTGGCAATTTTGGGGTTTGGGCAAGCAATTGGGGTTTAGCTATATGTGTCTACAATTTTGTTGTGGTAACTTTTAATGTTGTTCCAGTTGGTGAACTAATATGGCTGCAACTTGAGGTTGACCATGACAATCTTTTTTTTAAAAAAATAGGAACGAAATTTATTGAAAGAAAAAGAAGAGGAACACACAAGTGGATAAGAAATCCACAAGCCAAGCGAGCAACAACAGAACAACAGACGAAAAGACACCAGCCAAACTACACAAAGACTACTACACCAGAAAGACCCAACGAAACAAAATCGCAAAACAAACACTTCACATCACAGCAGCAGCCATATCCCTCAATATAGTGGAGTAAGAATAGTCTTTGAAATCTTAAATGACAGAAGTCCCCAGAGATGCCTAGAATTTAACTCTATCCCACACCAACACCCACTCCCTCGTACTAATAAAAAATCCTCCTGTTATGCTCCATCCAAATGTTCCAAAATACAGATTGTACCAAGCAACCCCATAAGGTTGAAGCGCGCGTCCCCCTGCCCCAAGTGACAAAATGGGAAGAGAGAAGATCATAGCAACCTTGTGGAATAACCCAAACAGTCTTAACCTCCCTCAACAAGGTCCACCAGAGACATAATGAAAAGGGGCACTGTTAAAAAAGTCATCCACGCTTTCCTTACTCATTTTGCATAGAACACACAAGTGTGGAGACAAATACATGTACTGTCTTCGTCTTTGGACAAGATCAGATGTGTTGACTTTCCCAAGGGACACCAACCAAACGAGAACTTTAACCTTAGGAGGAGATTTGGCCTTCCATATTAGAGAATAAGGAGGAAAGGCCTTCGCCATCCCATTCTTGAGAAGAAAAGAACGAAAAGATTTGCATGAGAAAGAACCTGAACCCTCGAGCTCCCACCATCTCCTGTCCAATTTGGAAGGAGACAATCTAATTTCGTCAAGAATGTCCAGCATCTTGATCACCTCAGCTAACTCCCTCTCATTCAGATTCCTAAAGCTGAAGTCCTAATTATAAGGGAACACCTGAGTGTCCACGAAACGAGAAATGCATAAAAAGTGCTTCGTAGACAGTGCAAACAATCTCGGAAAAAATATCTTTCAAAACCCCCCTCCTCGCCCAATTGTCCTCCCAAAATCTCACCCTAACCCCATTTAGTACCTCAAACCTACGACACTGTAAAAAGGAATGGTAACCAGAAGAAAATCCTTCCAAGGATTACAAAAGGAGCTCGTAGTAACAGGATTGGCGTCCCACCTGTTTCTAGCAACCCTGTATTTGCTCCTAATCACCAAATGCCACAAGGAATTAGGTTCCAAAGAGAAACGCCACAACCATTTAGCACACAAAGCTTCATTCTTTTCCTTCAAAGAACCCACTCCAAGCCCACCTTCAATCTTAAATTTGGCCACTAAATCCCATCTAACCAAATGGTCCTTCTTCCCTTCCTCCACTCTTTCCCATAAAAAGGATCTCATGAGCTTTTACACCTTATTAACCACACTGCTAGGCATTTTAAAAAGAGACATAGATTAGAATGGGATATTACCCAAAACAGCTTGAATTAAAGTTAACCTTCCACCTCTAGAAAGAAATGCTTTTTTCCACTTTTGAAGTCTCAATTGAAGCTTCTCCACCACAGGCTCTTAGACGATAATTGCTCTAGGATTACCGCCAAGGGGAAGACCTAAATACTTCATAGGCCACTCACCCACCTCGCAAGCCCAACTGCTAGCTAGCAAATTTAAATATGTAGAGCTACAATTAATTCCCACAAGAGAACATTTAGATTTATTAATTTTCATGCCAGAAACAAGGCAAAAAAATCCAACAACTCAAGAAGATTAAACCAGTACTCCTCCGCTTCCCCAATTAAAAATATAGCGTCATCAGCAAATTGGAGATGAGAAACCTCCACTTTATCACTCCCAGTAATAAGACAATGACAATCTTACTTTGCATGTCATATAAATGCTCATCTATGGATCCATGTTCTTATTTGATTAGAATTATAATTTATAGCCTTTTCTTGTTGAGTTCGGCATATATTAATCCTTGTGAAGCTGACCAAACTACAATCTAGTCCTTAACTTCTGCTAATCATGGATACATGCTTCGTCTCCGAATTTTAGGTCTACAGTCCTCAAAGGCTGATTTAGTGCCTTAGATTTGTTTGGTGGCCTTTTTCTGTTTTGAGATATCTCAGTACAACCTATGCATGCATGCTTAGTTGTAACTTGTAACCAGATGTTTACCAGGCCACAGATAGCTTAATTTCATGTGAAAACTACAGTGGATGACGTAAGATTGAGGAACTGACAAAAATCATTTAAAAAGAAAAGATGCGAGCTTTGCCTTTGGAGGATAAGAAATGACTCGATGTGAAAATTGAGGATTTGCTAATTTGCTAATAAAGTATTATCGCGTTTTCAGAAGTTTGTGATCAGATCTGTTTTATTTCGTTTTAGCATCTCTTTGTTGTTTGGGAAGCAGTTCCGTGTGGTTAGTTTGGAGATGAGAGTGTGTTGTTGTGTGTGTGGTTGGAGCTTTTGAGTTGGAGTTGGATGTTTGTATGTCTGTACTTTTTTTTTTTTTTTTTTTTGTTTTTTTTTTTTTTTTTTTTGAGAAACAATATTATTCAATAAAGAATAAAACACCAACAATACAGGAGATGGCCAAGGAGGCCACCACGCAAACAGAAAGGTAAAACTCTACACTACAAAGCTACTGCTTTCCAATCTAGATGGATGAGCTGAAAACTAATCTCCCTAAACTCTGCTGAAACAGAAGCCTAAAGTGAGGCCCAGACTTGGATACGATCCCAAAGCTGCTCTACCTCGTCCCCAACCACATCCTCAAAGATTCTCCTATTCCTTTCCCCCCAAATTACCAAAAAATTGCCATCATGGCACAGTTTCCCAACACTGAACCCTTCCTCTTACCACCAAAGAAATTCAATCTAGCTTCAAGCACTGCACTACACGTTGTGAAGCTACCCCACGTTAGCCCTGTCACCTGAAATAACTTAGCCCACAGGGATGAGGCAATAGGACAAAGCAAAAACAGATGATCCACAGTTTCACTGCCTTTTTTGCACAGAACACACCAGTTAGGAGAAAAATACCAGCCGGGTCTTTTCCTTTGAACCAAATCACAGGTATTAATTCTGTCATGAGCAATTAACCAAACTAATAATCACAGGTATTAATTCAGCCGGATGTCTTGTACCATGTTGCAAAGTGATTCCGTTGTTCTTCTAGATGTATGTTCCCGTAGACTCTGGAAGCTACTTTTTGCTATTCTTCTTTTTATATCACTCACTGGATAGGTAGTTCCCTTTGATAGAACAATTTATCATATTCTGCAATGCTTTAAGTGGATGGTTTAGTATGCTGTCATGCGTTGGTATCAGTTGCTAGTGTCATATTCTAGCATATGATAAATGATGTGGCCAATTATTCATACTAGACATACCTTGAAACTGCTGAAAGGTCCTGTGTTACAGGGGAAGTGGAGAGAGTCCAGGGATAGATATAATGTTAATGAGTTGCATAGGGACTTTGAAGACTGCTTAACTTTACTTATCACTAGATATGACTGCTCAAACACTTGAGTCAAGGCAACTTCCTTCCATTTACCATTGGAATGAATTGTAAAACTGTAATGCATGGGTACTGGAAAAATGAAAAAACAGTGGCAGTGATGTATTTTCCTTGCTCTTCACTGAAAGTTGGTGTAATGATACTAGTAATAACTTATGAGCAATAGTTATTTATGATTAATGTTTGAATTGCAGATTATGGTCATTTACTGCGGGCCTGGTATCGTGAAGGTTAATGTGATTCGTGGGCTGCATTCTCAGATTGCTAATAAAGACACTTTGAATGGGCTCATATTAATTACCCAAAACCAAATAACAAGCCAAGCTCTAAAAACTATGGAACTTTACCCATTTAAAACTGAAATATTCCAGGTTTGTTTCCTACTGTCGCTGATCTTTTGAATTTTCTTTCTTTAAACTTTGCAAGTCCTGCAGGATAATTATATTTGATTCCATTTACTGATTTTCTGGGTTAGCTTTATAGATGGCTTATGATTGGAGATGCATTATAGGCATCCTCCTAGAAGTAAACTGATGAACTAGTGTTGTTTAAGAATTAAAATGCATTGGTACAATGGGCTGTTTTGTAGTCTAGGCACAAAGGATACTAGGAAATGCAATTTACGGAGGTCAAATCTGGAAATTTGAAATTTATATATTCAATTTAAGATAAAGGGAAATTTACATTTCCTTTTTTGAACATTACAAGTCCTGCAGGATAATTATATTTGATTCTGTTTCTGATTTTCTGGGTTGGTATTATAGATGGCTTATGATTGGAGAGGCATTATAGCCATCCTCCTAGAAGTAAAATTGATGAACTAGTGTTGTTTACGGATCAAAATGCAGTGATACAGTTGGCTGTTTTGCATGTTTTAGGCACAAAGGATAAAGGGAAATGCAATTTACGCAGGTCAATTGCATGTTTTGAAAATTTGAATTTCTATGTATACAATTTTTAGAAAATTTATAATAATGTGTTTGGAAATGATGACCAAGGTACGTATATTTGCGTTTTTGTTGTTTCTTTAGGTGCTTTTGAAAAGCATTTCACAATAGCTTTTTAATAGTTGCTTCGGCCTTTTGCTGTTTCCTAGTTAACCTGCCTTTTTTTGGTTATTTTATTTGCAGCATTTCTACTGAAACATTTACTGAACACTGTACAAGTGTTTCTGCCTATTATCAATAGTTTTAATGGTTCACGCCTTGGAAGCTCTGCTTCTCACTCCTCTCATATTTCTATTTCTGGCTTTGTTTCTCAGATTACTGACTTGCTTGTTAATATCACAAAGCATGTCTTGAAGCCAAAGCATCATGTACTGACCGAACAAGAGAAACAAAAACTCCTAAAGAAATACAACATAGAAGAAAACCAGGTTAGTGTATTAACTCGAGCAAAGAAAAACCAGCCTCTAATTTGCTTTCTTTGCAGATGTTCATCTCATTCTTAATTTTTGAATAATCTTGAATGAGTTTGAATTGTTAATCTGACTTGGGCTGTGGTATGGCCTCCATCATTTGAAATTACTTATGATATGGAGTTAAAAAGAGTGCTATGAATTTATCTGTGGGTGGCTGGTAGGGATTTTTCTAAGTAGTGAATTGGGTTGAACCCATTTTTATGTCATGTAATCAGTATTAATTCCATATTAAATAAAGAAAATAGCAATGTCAAATTAGTCACCACAAAAGTTTCTGTTTAATATCTTTGATGCATCCAAGAAGGGAATGCTTGATTGAAACAATGGAAATTGCATGGAGTAAGTTGAAACATTTAATAAAGGTAGGGACAAAAGCACAAGTATGCACACACATTCACACACTAACACATTCAAGAATATTGTATTCTATGTGGCCACATAGGAATTCTCAAAAGTTAGTTTTGATCAATGTGTGAATCTCTCATTCTATGCTCTCTTTAGGAACTTGAGCTCAGATGGCTTATTGCCATCCCTAGCAACTGATATTACTTTGTGCCTATAGACCTATATTATGTAGAGCAAACTCAAATGATAAACTCTTCTCGTTGACCTGAATATAAAGACTCACAGATCTCTTTTGGTCCTCTAGACCTATATTAGGCTTGCCTTTATACCTTCAAGTAAACCAACTTTTGGTAAGGTTGCAAGCATAGTAGTCATCTAGCACAATGTTCTTTCACTCTCTCCCATCCAGGACTTAACAATGGAAATTAAGTACAATTGTGTACCAAATGTTTGCATTTTAGTTTATTAAATTGTATATTACCATTACATTTCGCGTAGATGGTTGATTGGCGTATAACTGGTAACTAAACCGTAATGTTTCCATTGTCGTAATCTCATCAACTGTTCTTCCTGTAGCTTCCCCGACTGTCAAGAAAAGATGCAATTGCACAGTACTATGGACTTGAGAAGGGGCAGGTAGTGAAAGTTACCTATACTGGTGATATAACAGAGTCACATGTTACATACCGTTGCATCTGGTGACGCCTTTTTCTTCTGGGTACTCTTTTGTATCATATCCTTTGAGGAATGACGCCCTTTCTTGTTTCTAGTTTCTAGTTTCTAGTTTGTGGCCTCTTGTATCTGCAACCTTGATGAATACCCTTCCATTTTGTTTCTTGTTTTCCTTATAAAAAAGAACTTATTTCTTGTTTCAACATTAGCTCGATGAATGCTTGAGTATTGCTCACGTGAGGGGCTTGTTTGAGTGTCTGGTTCTAGATTATTCGCATTTTATCACAAATGTGACGACATTGATCGAATTTGAAGAATGAGGACTAAAATGATGCGTTTGGAATAATACAGACCATTCGTGATATAAAAAAACATAAATTATTTCACTCATGGACGCTAAAACATCAGGCACTGAACTGAGCAAGAGCAATATGGTGCATAGTTTCCAAATTTCTGGGCAGCAATTGAATGGAAGTGTAGCTTTAAATAAAAGTTTTGCAACAAAATGCTTATGTAAGCAAAATGGGAGGTGTGGTTCTTTCGGCTGCAGCCGGCCTGTTTTGAGTGGCCTGCATGAAAAGCTTCTGGGTTAATGTTAATAAGTCCTCAAACCAACAGTTTAAAATCGCAATTTTTATCCAAAATGAATTATTTTATCATAACATGACAATTTTGCTCACCATACCATTATCCTTCATTAATTTAATCATATTAGTCATGATGCCTCAATGTACTTGGCAAGACTCCAATCAAGAGATAAATTACTTACTAAAAAAGACATGTAACTCAAGGGTGAATTTGGAGACTCAATCATGATTTCTTCAATGGTGGTTTAGAAGATTCAACCACCATCATTTGAAGATCCTCACGTAATTTATTTTGATCAAATTTATTGAACATGCAACCAAACATCCATTATTTTCTTGCATTTATCAGTCGAACAGCCAAACATCTATTTAAATAGAAAATATTATTGCTCGTTGTTTTTATTTATTTTCTTGCAATTCAAGGTGTATTATCAATATTCTTCTCAATATTTGATATGTATTCATGAACATAATTATAGTTAATTGTTTACTTTATATTTGTGAAATCATAATTAGTTATGCTGATTGACACGTGTAAGGTTGTGATGATATAAATGGTTTAAAGTGGTAAAGAAATGCTCCCGTTAAAGTGGGAGTATGCGTCAAAGTTTTAAGTTTATTTCAAATCAAAATCTAAAACCACCTACGGAGCCAACGGTGCACTGAGTCGACTCAGCGGTCACCTCCACACAATGACCGATCCAACGGTAAACGAAACGACGTCGAAGAGCGGCGGCGGCGGCGGGTCTGACGCATCTCGAATCGGAGAGGTAAAGCAATGGCTGACTCAAGAGTTCTCCCAAGCTGGAAAAGAAGTGCCCGATTTCGAATATACCCCTCGATCGGTGGCATATTTACACAACCTTGCCACTCTCTCCCAAGCCCAAACTCAAGCTTCCAAGATCCTCGCCTCTGATTTCCGCCTCAAAGCCTCCGAATACCGAGCCCAAGGTCTCCCCTTTTAACCCAACGCAAAAAATCTCTGGTTCATGTTCTCTTTGTATCTCCATATGTGTTGTTATGTTGTATATTTTGTTATATCTTCTCTTTTTTCAAACAAAATTTTGATTTTTTCTTTGTGGGTATTAGCTGCGAGGATCGGAGAGATATTGGAGAGTGTTGGTTTGGCACAAGAGGGTTTGGCATCGAACGTGGTGTCTTCAGCTCAGGTCTTAGCGAATGTAGCCAATTTGTTGAATATAAGAGACACTGAGCTAAGCAGGTGCGTTTTTGAATTCTGGGTTTTAAGTTTTACTTTGAATACTGACTCATTGAGCTCACACTGTGATAAGAAATGTGGATTTTACATTGTTATTTGAATACTTAGATGACACAAGAAATGTGGGTTTTGCATTGTTGTTTGAATACTAGGCTGAGATACGAAATTTGGGTTTTACTTTTTTTTTGAATGTTGATCTGACATAAGAGATTTAGGTTTTACATTGTTGTTTGAATACTGGACTGACATAAGAAATCTGGGTTTTAGTTTTCTTGTGGCGATGGGGGATATATCCTTGAGGAAGACGGGTGTGGAGGAGAAAAGAGCTAAAGCGCAAAAAGAGTCCAATATACTTCTTGATTATACTCGAAAGGCGATTTCCAGGTTAACTTATTTGAAAAGGTAAGATCTTGTTGGATCTGTTGCAAGACTTGTAAAAGTTAGGAGTATGAATTTGTTGAATTTGTTGAATGTGTTGAGTTTTCAAACTTATGCAGAACACTTGCCCAACTAGAAGATGATGCAGGTCAATGCGAGGCACACATTGAGCATTGGAAGAACAACTTGGCGCTGATGCTTGGTAAGGAGAAACAATACAACCAAGAAACTGTCCGCTTTAAGGTATTTATTTTCTTTTCTTGCTTTTGTCGGTCCAATTCCTCTTTCCTCCTGTTTAAATGTGTGGGTGGATTTCTTGATCATCAGTATCTATGAGTAATTGTATAGACCAAATTGCATTACCTGTTATGTATCTAAAATGGAGCTCTATACTTTAGGACCATTTTGCAGATGTGGTTTAAATACACACACACAACTGAATGCCCCCCACCACCATTTATATTGTCCTATGAGGTGAGAGAATATGATTGGGAGTTTGACAAAGAAAAGTATTTCAATGGTGCATAGATTGTGATACGTATTCCAAGATCTTATAAAATTACCAACTGTGTAATTGTGGAAATAAATTTTGATTAAGCTCAAGTTGCATGAAGTTGGATAATGGTTGGTTTCTGAATGCAAGCCAATGTCCAACAATGCTGGAACACAGGAATAATCAGGGTATTGAAATAATGGGCATCTGCATTGCCTTGATCATAAAGAAATATGGGGGTTTTTAATTTTAATTTAATTGTTTTTTATGAATGGTGATGATTGATAAGAAATTTGGGATTTTAAACTGCCGCAGCTTAGCAAGGTATTCTAACCCTTGGATGATTGCCTTAGTTTGAGGAAGGATATCACACTATAGTTAGAATGTGGCAAGAAATCCATGATTTTGTGTCCTGTATAAGGAAAAGTAAATTTTTTTCTTGGTGGATGGTATAAAATGAGTGATAATTGTTCATCAGTCTCTTTTGGCTAGTTTATTGAAATTCCGTACTGAAGTCACAGGAATGTATTTTATCAGCCATATTGTTTGGTTATGCAGAGCCTACATTTCTGTGTTTAATTTGACAAAGAGTTGTTGTGTAAACTTGTTGGACAGGACACTCTTAACCGTGTGGGTTACACCCCAGATATTAGCCATGGGGTGTTGGTTGGATTGGCTGAGGAACGGAAGGAATTAGAGAAGAAGACAAAGCCAGTCCTTGATACTTTGAGAAGCTACCAAGATTTACCTCCGGTACTTTCCTATTTTGGTTAATTGATCACAGTTTGTTTAGGTCCTACAAATATTGTTAGGTTTATCAGATATGCATGTGTGCAGGATAAAGCTTTGGCTGCTTTAGCAATCGAGGACAAGAAAAGGCAATATGCTGCTGCGGAAAAGTATTTTGAAGATGTGCTGCATACAGCTCTTTCCACTTCGAAGTAATGCACCAGTAGACATATTGTTGTATGATTGCCTCTGTATAAATATATGTAGTTTTGTGTTATTTGACAAGTGGTAAACTGATCAATGTAACTGGTCAATGTTTCTTTGTTGATCCGATGATTGTTGCACAAGTTGTGGTCACATTATTTTTGCTACTTTTGTTTTTGATCGGTTAACACTGAAATTTTTATTTAGATAGAGTTAAATTTGAAGGACAACTTTCTTGTATATAGTTTTATTAATATGCTCTCAAAAGTAAGAACCTTGGAAGTTTCTTGTATTCTGGTGGCAAGAGCCCTGCCTTTGTGGTTTTATTAATAAAGTTTTCCTAATATAACTACGGAAATTTTGATCTACTTTGCAATATAACATGTCATCAGTCATTTGATTTACTTTACAATGACCCTTGTGATGTTTTCTGGTAGCAAGAGCCCTGCTTTCTCTTTCTGTGGAGGGAAATCTGTTACCTTCAATCCTTTAGGTGGACAATCATTTCTACACCTTTTATTATTTGAAGTTTAAGCTTCATCAAAAACCTGTTAAGCCAACAGTATACCCAATGGAAAAGAGCCTTGACCAGTTGTCTCAGTTCGAGCCCCAATGACACATTGGTAGTATGTGTAAAAACCTGTTAATTACACTTGCATTCAAGTTGTTGCTCTTCGCATGAATTGATCAGGCCCGCCTATTGTGTGAGCATTGAAGCCTCGTATTAGTGGTGTGCTGGTTGATCTTGTAGGACTAGGGCTGTTTGTATAAAAGCTAGGACCTCTCAGATGTTTATTTTTATTTTTTATGATAGTTTCGTTGGCCCATCAGAAATAATTAGAAATAAGATGAATTAAAGGGAGAAATGTAATGAAACGAAACCCTTATACCATTAATCCAATGAACTCCTTTGCCATGCGATTTTTCTGTAGTATCATTAAGGGAGAAATGTTGGAGATAACCCCCTGCTCATGAAACGGCTCTGCTGCAATGGATGGCAGAGGGTGCCTAGAAGTGCCTTGGTTTTTACTGAGACCTACTAATTATTGGGATGGGTTAAAATTTTCCAACCTAATTTAGCTCGAGTAAAATGGTTAAAATCTTGTTGCTTGTGGATACCTAATCACCTAAACTGTTTTAGGCCCCTTTCAACCCACATGAACTTGAGTTGGACACAAACCAAGCCAAAGATATGATTAAGTATAGTGGCAATATGTGAACTAATAAGAGTACAAAAGACATTGGGACTTCCTTTTAACAGCAACAAGGCAACATATACAACATAACATAAAATCACAATTTTTCCATACATATTTGCAAGGTACATATGCCAAAATAATGGCAGAATATTTGTAAGCTAAGCATTATCAACTGATTAACAACATAATATGAGGGAAAAACCTATTCATTTGCACAAAAAATAAATCAATTTTTTAAGTAGTCAAGCTGCAGAATTTGTTTTGAGCTATTCTCAGTCTGATTATTCGGAACCTTCTTTTTTCAGGGGAAAATTGAAACTTGTAAGTAATAGCCACTCATTATGAACATTGTTGGCTTGTGCTCATCACCTGCGAACCAATGCTGCTACAATCCCAGCTGCTATAAGCCCAACAGCACTAGCAGTAATGCCTATTCCAATTAAGCCTTCTGCATTCCAAGCAACGTGTTCACAATTCCTTGATTTAGTGCTACACTGCAGGCAAAACCAGAAGAAAAAGAAAACTACTCAATACCTTTAGCAATTCGATCCTCAACAGTCTTCTTAAGGGTCAGAGCCTGTCTCCAATCAGGAGCAATCTGCAAAACAAAGAAAAAAGGTTAAAAAAATAATTTTAAAACAATATTAGGACGAATCATTGGTAGGAATTGTAGAAATTAAAATAGCAACAGGCTGAAGGCAACTCATTTGTATAGTGAAAAGGAGGATAGATAGTAGTCTAGTCTGCAATACTACAATAGATGAGCAGCTAAAGGTTAAGTCCACACAGATATTATAGTTACAGTACAGAATTAGATAATTAACTATAAGTAAATTTCACCAGCTGAAAAGCAGCTAATACAATATATGCACAAGCACACAGCACGCAATCAAAATTTTAGAAAAGGACGACACATTTTAAACTTACCACCTATATAGCAGAGTCAAGTGTTGTTGAACATTTAAATGACAGATCCTATGAAACAAATAGTATTATTCGGGGCAGGTTTTCACTGAATGATGGTCAGCCAACCATATGCTAAATGTAAGAGACACATGAACATGTCACAGAAAAGAGAGATGAATGCCGCCAAAGGGTGCTGGAAAATTAGGTGCAAATGAAACGAAAAATAAGAACAAACCTCTAAGCATTGCTCCACAAGATGCCGACTATTTGAATATTCAGCAGTTCTGTAGTATCCAACAGCCAGAAGGTAAAGCTTCTCTCTCTGATGCAAAGGGGAGCCAGTGTTGGCCAATGAAGCTGTACAAAATCATATTCTTCAGTATTTTTAAATGAACAATTTTAGGTTATAGATACCACTAGAGAATGCAAACCTACACTGCCAGTATCTAATATTGGAAACTCAAGCATTAGCGACAAGCTAGAACGAAAGTTCTTCAGTTAAAAGCAAAACAAGAAACAATCACAATACAAGAGAAAATGTATTTAGTAATTTAAGTTTTTTAATATGGAAAAGACTAACCAATATAAATATAAGACCTTTTTTTTTGTAATCATTACTAGAAATCCAGAAGGGCTCAGCGTCTTTGTAATTTATAAATTTTCTTGTGGCATGGAGGGCCTAGTTCCAAATTCTTATGAAAGAATGAAGTAGAAAATGATACTCTAATGAATTTCTGGGAAGAATAATTTTGTTGGTGAGAATCAGGAAAAAAGATGGCATGCATTATGAAAGTGTACAAACACCATCACTACTGTTGTACAGAGGAGCAATAGGGTGAAAAGAGGGAAGATTCATGGCAGTGTGAGCCCTCATAATAGTCTTTCCTCTTTCCTATTCCTGCAGTGTCTAATACCCCATACAAAGGAGCAACAGAAATGATTGTTCCATTAACTTAGAATCGATTGAATGTCTTTGGGCATACAAATTCTAAAGAGGCTGTCAAACATTGCAAAATATAAAGAATCAGTGCCGGCAGATTTGATAATGTTATATTAAAATAAACAAGAAAATAAAAATAACAACATTATGTTATTTTTATTTATGTGAGATTTTATAAATTCAGCCTCCTTTCTCCTTGATATTTCTCTTCTCCTTTTCAGCTCCCTCTCCCCTCTCTTTCTTTAATCAAAAAAATAAAAACAAAAGTGCTACCAAATTGACCTACATTTTGCACAGAATTTTTTTGTATAACTAAAACCATGACGAGCAATTAGAGAAGATTAATTAAAACTCATACTGAAAGAAATTATGAATAACTCATGAAAATAATCAGGAATTCTATGGTTGAAAAAGACATGTACAGAATCAAAATCGAGACGATAGGGAAATGTAAAAAGAAATGTAAATTGACAACACCAATGGTTCAATATGCTTATGCTACCTAAAAAGTAAAAACTTGCAGCATTGAATGTTCAGAAATATTAATAAGAATAATGATAATACCTTCAAGCATGGCAATTCCACGCTGCACATCTTCTGGTTGCTTTGAGTGGACAAGTGCCCACGATAACCTCATTATGCTTTCGCTCTTCAGCTCATCTGAGTCACCCTTGTTGGCCTCTGCAACTTCTTTCTCGCACCCCTGACCCACAATTCACAAACACTCAAGTGTCTTTAATTCAAGCAAACAAAAACCAAACCAAATTGGATTGGAGGAACAAAGAGGAACCCAGATCTCTGTTTCGTTTTTCCTTCAGGGTTCTTCATTTTCTCGGGAAACAAACAGAAAATGAGCATTGGGGGTTTGTAGTGTGCACTTACGTGGATGACGTCGCGGTCGCACCAGGGGATCGAATCTCCGCCGCCGAAAAGGTTAGCGATGGAGTCAAAAAATTTGTCAAACATCTGTTCCATTTTGTGATTGCGGATGATGAAATGATTGAGTCTCAATTCTCAGGGGGAATTCTCTTGGGATTGGATTTGGTATTTATAGGTTTGTGAGGATATTTTCAAGTCTTTTTTATTTAAACCTAAAATGGGACTTTTGACTGTCGGCTTTTTTATATTTTATTTATAATTAAACAGATATTGTACTGTATGGTAAGGGAAATTCTAAGATACTTTATTAGTATGGATACATCAAAGCTCCTTTAGATCAGATCAACGGTTACTATTTTTTTTTTAATACAAAAAGCATAAATTGTTAGATGTTTACCTACAGTACTATTTGCTGTTAGGAAATATATCAGCAATTTTACTATATATAGATATATAGGTTTTCAGTCCCCTTTTATTGAGGGATCCCTCAAATAATTTTATTTGAGGGACGCCTTTTAGGGTACCCTACAATTTTTTTTTCCAATGATCCAAACCATCTATTTTTCAGGTATTCATTCATAGATCATCCTTACAAAAAATTAGACAAATCGAAAACCGTTTCGACATCCAATTGTGTCCTACAAAATCAATGAACATGGGGCTTCAAGAAAGTACTAAAATTTCAATGACTCAATTGAATGGTCAAATGATATCGGATTCAAGTGATTTTTTGTAGAGATGATCTTTGAATGAGTATCTATAAAATAGACGGTATGGATTAGTGAAATACAATCCGGAGTGGGTCCTACAAGAGGTGTCCCTCAAATAAGCTTATTTGAGGGATCCCTCAATAGAAGCTCTCTGTATATGTTTTAATTACGTATAAGGATCTAATTGACATTTTATATATAACTAGCTTCTTCGTACGAGCTTCCGCGCATGCGAGAGGCTTTTTTAAAAAAAAATAAATTTATTTTAGAATTAAAAAAGATAATGAGTAGTTGTGTTCCATAAGAATAGAATTCATTATCTAATTTTTCTTTTAATTATATATATTTTTTAATATGAAAAAGTGTGAATTTACCATATTATCCTCATTTAATTAATAATTTCAATTCTTAATGTTTGCATTAACCTGGGCATTTTATGGTATTTTGAATGTTTTATCATTCTCCGCCTTTTGCTTTATATATATATAGATATATATGACAATACATAGCAATTTCAAAATTCATGTAAGCAGAAGGCTTAGGATGCGAAAATATCAAACAAATCAGTTCATTAATCAATAATATGACACTATGTGAGTTGAACAAAAGAGTGAGAACATTCATACTCTACAGTTCATTACAATGGAGTTTTGGAACAAGCAGTTCTGTACATTCAAATTCAAGGGAATCAGTGATTTGGTGACATCAACTTGAAATCACAGTCCTCTGAAATCCAAGGGAAATCAGTATAGTCAATTGGTGGATAGTCAAGCTTGTCAGAGAGCTCATCAAAATCCTCATATGGAGTGAAGTATTTTGGTGATTCAAATACAGGAGGTGGAGAGTCAAGCTTTTCAGACATCTCTTCCAAATTCTTGCACCTCAAGGGACTCTCCGGCTGAAGACAAAGACGAAAAAACCGCATTGTTAGGAAATCCAAACCGACAAAATAACTTCAGAAAAGGAAGAAAAAGGGAATGCAGACTTGCCTTGAGTTCACTGAAATTAACCAGAAGTTGATCCAAGTCCATGGCCTTGTTTTGTGCTTTGATGCGTTCTTGATGATTGTGTATTAGAACCCTTCCTCTGCAATAGCACTAGGACAAAGGGGTTCTTCTGCCATAACATTTAGTTTCATGCTGTGGTTCTTCTGCAGATTTGGTTTCACTGAGTTTGAAATGTAAGATAGCGTATTCCTGCTACAAGCCTGCACTTTCTCTGAGGCTTTAAAAACACCTTTCCTAGTGCTTGCGTCATGAACTATTTTAGGAAGGCTGGTCACTTCCTCAACGACAGGGAAATTCTTGGAAGGCTGCTTTTTTGATGCCTGGGAGAGAACAGGCTTCCCCGAATTCGATATGTCACCAAGGGGTTTCCTTCCACCAAGCCCTCTCATTTGTGTTTTTAAAACATCACCCTTTCCCACAATAGAAGCTCCTGTGGCAAAATTCTTGGAATGCTGCTTTTTCGATACCTGATTGAGTGCAGGCTTCCCAGAATTGGATAAATCACCAAGCGGTTTCCTTCCACCAAGGCCCCCTTTCCTTTGTGTTTCAACTGCATCAGCCTTTCCCACAACAGAAGCACCTGTGGTACATGTTATAAGGGTTACACCAAAATAGCCCAACAAGAATTTTAGGCAAAAGAGAAAATAATTGGTAGGCTTGAGAAGTACCATTAGATTGAGCATTAAGATTCTGATCGTGAATCACACGACCAACTTGTGATGCCATTGTTGCTTTCTGTACCCACTTTTAGATTTAATTTTCTGCTAACTGCAGAAACAAAGGAAAATAAAAACACTTAGAACAATCCTTCACATCACCAACTTCCATAAAAGATGTGGCCTTAGATAAAGAAATATATATCCAGAATTCTAAAACTAATTGAACACTTAAACTGAAGTGAAAGAAATACTATCCAGAATCCAAGATCTTAGAAAACTACGAACCTCAAATGGCAATGGAAAAAAAACACCAAATTCTTATTTATTTGCATCGCTAATATGTATCCCTCATCACCATTCACCATCATTTTCAATTCTAATGGGTACCATCTGAATCTTAAATTCAAATTCTTGTTTTTACTGTACAAATATTTGAAAAACAAGAACACCAAATCCAAATCCACATCCCAGAAAAGTTATGTAACACCGAGTCTATTGAAAATTATATCTCCTTTTTTTCTTGAAACCGAAACAATTAGAAGGTTAAGAACCACAATTCAAATTACAATTCAAAAAAAATTCCCAAGAATTGTAATTCCCAAATTACAATTCAAACCTAAACCCTAATAAACGAATTAGAGTAAATCATACAGATTTCTAAGCACCACCGATCAACATATCCCTAACCTATCAACTATGTTCGCCATACTGAAGCAATACCACATGTGACTCAATCCAATGAAGTGTGCCTTCGGCGTGGCCTCAGGAAAGTTCCTTGGTTTCATGATCAATCAGAGAGGTATTGAGGCCAACCCTGAAAAAATTCAAGCCATCTTAGACATGAAGGTGCCTAAAACAGTCAAGGATATCCAAAGCCTTACTTGACGTGTCGCGGCCCTGACTAGGTTCATCTCTAAGGCTACCGCTGTGCATCCTTCTTTAAGGCCTCAAGGGCGACTCCCGAATGCGATAAAGCTTTCATCGAGCTCAAGGAATATATGAGCAAGGCACCTCTCTAGTCAACACCTGAGCCTAGTGAAACCCTCATGATCTACCTTTTGGTCTTTGCCCCTGTAGTTTGCTTAGAGTTAATTCGGTCACATGATGATGCCGAAGCTCGATAGTCAGACATAGAAAAACATTGCCTTTGCTTTGGTCTTTTCAGCCAGACATCTTCGACCCTACTTCCAAGCCCACACCATCCATACCCTTACTAATCAGCCTCTGAGACAAGTATTGCAGAAGCTAGAGACATATGGCAGGTTGATTAAGTGGGCCATCGAGCTCAGGGAGTTTGATATTCACTATAGGCCTCGACCGACCACCAAAGGACAAGTTGTTGCCGATTTTCTCTCCTAATTTACCAAACCCCAACCTTCAACCACTCCATGTATCATCGCTGAACCTACTCACCCACCGACCTTTGTCCACCTTGCCGGCGAGGGCAACTTCGACCTCAGCAAGACCCTATGGACACTCCACATAGATGGATCCTCCAATTCCCAGGATTGTGGTGCATGCTTAGTCCTCACTTCCCTAGACAAGGTTGTCCTGGAGTATGCCCTCTGCTTTAACTTCTAAACCTCCAACAATGTAGTAGAATACGAAGCACTCTTAGCTGGACTTCGACTTGCCAAAAAGATGGATGCTAAATAGATTCAGATATTTAGTGACTCCCAGCTCGTCATCCACCAAGTCAATCATTTGCCAAGGACAACTCCATGAAGTCATACCTTCAGCATACCCACCAGCTGCTAAAAACTTTCAATGCTTATTGCATCAGCCAAATCCCACAATCTGAAAATAGCCATGCTGATGCCTTGTTAAGGTTAGCTTCGGCACTGGAACAAGGCATCGGCCGTTACATCCATGTGGAACTCCTGGATAGGCCCACAACCAAACGCCAGTCATTTGTACAATTGACCATAGCCCCACATGGATGGATCCCATAATCTAGTTCTTACAACACCAAATATTGCCCGCCAACCCTATTGAGGCACGGCAGGTTCGCTACCATCCCCGAAATACCATTTTGACAACGTGCATTTAGTGCACGTTGTGGAACGTTTACTTCCACAACACATAACTTATGCACGTTGTTAATAACATGTTGTCGTAGGGTATTTTTCTTGTAGTGTCTGAACATGCCAATGACTGTAACTTTTGCCTTTTGTATTTTGAGAATTTGACTCTTCTATGAATTCGGGAAATTTTTTTTTGCGTACTTAATACTCTTATGTTCAATGACAGTGGTGTAGATTTTAGCTTATATATCCCAAGTATTCAATTTGATATATGATAATGTTGTCATATGTTCAATTGGTTGTTGCCCTGGACTCTGCATTCACCATTTTTTGAATTAATTCTCTGTTTTCTTCTTAGAGAAATTAATAGTCAAAGAATCATGACTAGGAGTTTATAAAAGTTAACTTCTTCTTATTAGGATTTCAAAATAAAATGGATGAGAAACTCTTGTTTCTTCATATTCTAGTTTGGATGAGAAAACATTATTAGATTTTCAGTTTGTTTTAAGTTTAGATGAGAAAAATCGAGAAAATGTTAGAATCGAGGGTAATAATTATTGTGGTGGTTTGAATTAGGTGTTTGAGTTGAGTGTGATTTTTGTTGCTGTTTTGACATGGGTTATATAAACCCAAGCAATAGCAGCACTCATGGGAGGAGGATAGGAGGTATGAAGTGAAAAAGGAGGGGACGTGGGACGTGGGTGGTGTGGAGTCTGCAAGTTGTAGGAAGAAGGTGGAAGGAAAGTGCTCCCAAAGAAAGCGTGAAAGCTAGCTGAGCGTGGGAAACAAAAGCACACCCAAAAAAAGTGTGAAAGCTACCTAAGGTAAGGCGTTAAATAATAAATAATAAATTAATTTTAGTGGAATGAATGGTCGTTGGCTTGACCAAAAAAAAATGAATGAATGGTCGTTATGATGTTATATGTATTTTTATATTTATATGAGCACTAAAGATTGATATATATTTTGGCATGCGTGATACTTTTTCCTACTTCGGAGTTTTATTCCTTTGGGTTTTTCCTGGGAAGGTTTTAATGAGGCCACTCTTGACATGCCAGCTTATGTATGCCCTTCTCCTATTGGAATACAATTCGATCACTTTGTTTTTTTTTAAAAAGATTGATATATATATTATATTTTGGGGGTGGATCTGTGGCACTACGTTTTTTATACAAGTTTTGACATAATTTTTGGGCCATCAAATTACTTCACTTTTAATGGTTGAGATTAAATATGACATGGCAAATAGTTTTAATTTTTTTAAATAGACTATAATTAATTTTATTTTCTCTCTCCAACCTTTTTGCTGGAAGACGTACTCTCTCTTGACTCTTTAATCTCAAATATTTATTAAAGTCTAATAAATAAAGAATCTCACCAAAAACTAATGCCCAAACTACAATCACACGCCTTTCTCTCCTCTCGCTATCTCTCCCTCCTCTCTCCTCTCGCTATCTCTCCCTCTTGCTCTTTCATCATACCAAAAAAAACCAACATATCTTTTTCTCTCTCTATCTAAAACAATCTCACCAAAAGGACTCTTTTCAGTTTAGCCTTCTTCACGTACAGCATATGCAGCCATGAATTCATCTTTAGTATAGTTCTTTTTATGTCAAAGCAATTTCTCATATCTTAATACAATATTGTCTCATCAAAATGTTGGAGTGCACACAAGATATTTCCTCCAACTCTCAGTGCATATCTTTGGTATGTTATCTTCATCTGAGACTTTTTTTTTCTTTCTGTTTTTTTTAATCTTTATTGTAGCTCTTCCTGTAGACAACTATGATTGCTGAATTTTTTATTTATTTATAATTTTTATAAATATAATGTTATATGATTGACTAACAATAATCTTTTAACATAAGAATTATTTTTTAAAATCAGAATGAAAGTTTACTCCATTATATTTCATCTTGCGTTAATATTTTGATACAGAGAGAATCATATTCTTCATTTTCATATATATATCTTATTAACATACGTATAATGTTTTTCTAAGTTGCATCATTAAGAATTATTAATATGTTCAATAGGTAGAGAAGATAATTCAACTAGAGAAAGGTGAAACAAGTACTCCAAAAAAGAAAGTTACACAATTAAAAGCACCATATGCAGGGATGGTATTTAACACAATGGAAGAAGCAAGAAAAACTATTATGAAGAGTGTTGGCACCATGTTGACCTCACCTTCCCCCTTAAGCAAATCCCACCAATTAAGGGATAACCCTCACATCCCACCAAACAAGGAGTAGCTGGCCATGCCCCCTCCTATGCCTTCTCAAGGCCCAAGACCCTAAATTCAGGGGAGCCATGCAAATATCCCAGCCATCAATCAACATTGTCTACTCCAACTTGGACTATAAAAGGGAGCTCACCACCTCCAAGCAAGAGGATCGGCTGCTACTTCTTCATGTCTCCAAGAGCTGTCCAAAGTTCTCCCAAGCTTTCTATTACTCTTCTACTAGAGCTCTCAAGCCTCTCCCTTTATTTCTCTCATGTACAATGTAACCTCTTCAAATACAAATACAAAGCTATAAACTATAGTGGATGTAGCCCCATTATGGGTGAACCACTCAAACACTTGTGTTATGTGTGATTATGTCTTAATCCATTAGGTACAAACTCGCCCGTTAACAAAGAGTATGGCTGGCAAGAGGGATTCTGGATTAGAACTCTATCTTCCTCCAAGACAAGAAGGTGTTTAGATGAGGTAACGAGTAGACAATTTGTTTGTGCACATGAAGGGAAATACGTGCCCAAAAATACATCACAGAAGGCTTCAAAAGAGAATGATGAAAGAGACATAAGTGAGATTGAGAATATGAAGAGAACAGGTAAAAATTATTCTACGGGGAAATGTGGATGCAAAGCAAGTATGCGAATTAAGCTTGATAGATGGTCAAACAAATGGAAAGTTTCAAGTTTCCAAGACTCTTACAATCACAAGCCAATCACACCAGAAAGAAGAATGAAAATGAAGTCAAATAGGGTTATGTCGAAAGCAGCTAAAATTTTGACTGAAACATTTCATGAAGAAAATTTGCCAATTGCAAAAGTTCTTTCAATCCTTGGTGGCCCGCATATTAGTTTTAACAATAGAGATTGTTATAACCACTTGAGAAATGTTCGGCATAGACAACTAGATGGAGGTGATGCACAGTCAGTCCTTACTTACTTCAGGAAGAAGCAAGTTGAGAATCCTCAATTTTTTTATGTCATTCAATGTGATGAAAATGGAAGGGCAACTAATTATTTTTGGGTGGATGCTCAATCGATATCACGCATGGCGTACCACCATTTTGGAGATGTAGTCATATTTGACACAACCTATAGGACAAACAAGTATGATATGCCATTTGCATTATTCATAGGAGTAAACCACTATTTGCAATCAATACAATTTGGATGTGCACTTTTACAAGATGAGACAGAGGTGACATTTTTTGTGGTTGTTTGAGACATGGCTTGAAGCAATGGGAGGACGTCATCCAGTTTCCCTTATTACTAATCAAGACTTGGCAATGAAAGGAGCAATTGCCAAGATTTTTCCTAACACTCGCCATCGGTTATGCCTCTGGCATATTAAGAAGAAGTTTGTAGAAAAATTGTCACATGTGTACTTCAAGAAGTCCAAATTCAAAATTCAGATGAAGAAATGTACATTCGGTCAACATACAAGATAGATGAATTTGAAGAAAAGTGGAAGGAATTGATGAAATAATGTGAATTGGCTAATGATAACTAGTTCAATAGTTTATATGATATATGTTCTTCTTGGGTTCCTGTTTATAATCGTGGCATATTTTTCTGCAGGAATGAACACTACTGGACATAATGAGGGTATTAATTCTTTTTTTGATGGATTTTTTACACCAACAACAAATCTTAGAGAGTTTGTTGTCAAATATGAGCAAGCACTAAAGAGGATCATGGATAGAGAAAGTGATGAAGATTTTGAATCAGAACACAAGTATCGCATTGTGAATGAAGGTGAATTCCTTTGAAAACATGCTGCGAAGTTTTATACTAGAAATGTTTTCAATAAGTTTAAGGATGAATGGAGTAAAGTTACTCTTTACAAAGTTGAAGACATTCCATGTGACGACAAATATCATGCATACCTAGTGAAAACAAAACTTGGAGAGCATGAAGAGTTTGTGGTGAAGTTAAATTTGCAAACATAAAAAGGTATGTGTGAATGCCAAAATTTTGAGTTTGTTGGAATACTTTGTCGACATTTGTTGAAAGTAGTTGTCTGCCTTGATATAGATACACTACATGACCATTTTATTCTTCTAAGATGGAGACAAGAAGCAAACAAATTTAGGATAATGGATTTTAAAAGTTTGGTGACAAATGATGATAAAGAAGAATCAGAGGCTCTGTGACTTAGCCATATGTGTCATCAAGCAACAAAGTTGGCTTGCATTGCAACATCTTCAAATGAGGCATATACAACTTTCATGGAAGCCATAAATGAATTGTCCAAGAAACTGTTAGACAATTCTACTCAGTATGTGTTGTAAAGCTAATAAGTGGAGCCCACATGTTGGAAGGGAATCTCCACACACCTTCCTGGAGCCTTCTTTTTACCTAATTGTTTGCCAAGGCTTTGCCTATAATATATGGCTTCATTCTCGTTTGTAATTGACAGAGCAAGACTCAATGAAAATATCAGAAGAGCACTTCTGTTGCTATTTGTATTCTCTCCATAATTCGCTCTAGTTTTTACAACAATATGCAACAATTCCTTCCTCAACAGCAGGTGATCCATGTAGTACTAATATTGGTTATTCTAAATTATTGCTTTTGGATCCCAATATCTCACAAACTAAGGGTAGAAAGAAGGACAATATTAGCAGTTCAAAAAGGATAAAAAGTGGTATTGAGTTGGCTCAAAACAAGAAGAAAAGAAAGTACGCATTATGCAAAAAGATAGCACAAACATGACAAAAGAAATTGTCCATCAAATCTGAAATGATGAAAGAATGAATCAGCGAATCTATGTAAGTTGGTTCACTTTGTTTTATATATATATATATATATATATTTCTAATAGTAAGGTCAAAAGCTCATGTTTTAATTTGATTATTATGAATCTAAATTCAGGCAATGAAGAGTCAGAAGACTTGTGCCAAGATATGGAGAGTGATGACCAAGAATGTTGTTACTGGTGAGTTTTTTTTTAAAGTTGTGATCAATTTTCTTTTTTTTACTTTAATTTATGCTCATTAGATAAATAAGATGTACTTTTGTGTATCTTTGATATTGTCTTGCATCAGGAATAGTCTATTATGTTCATCAGGGGGAAGCTCTTGTCGCAGCAGTGATCATTGGTCTTGTTATCTCCGTATATGTGGCATTACATAGACAAATTACATGTCTCTATGCTTTTTGGATTATGATGTCTTGTATCAGGAATGTTTATGTACTATTTGATACAAAATGTGTCTCAAAATTGTTCTTAATCCTTTGTTTATGGGAGTTTCATGATAGTAAAATATTGTAGATGCCCACTTAATCGTAAGGTTTACGAAATTATCGAATTGCTTCCTTATTGTTTTTTTTTTGGTGTCGTTTGTGCTCCTCAGGATTAGTATGAGCGCTCACAAACCGTTCTTGCCGCGAGGTTCCATAAAAAAACTCTGTTACTAATATTGAGGAAAGTAAAGAAGAGGGCGCGAGTGTTAAAAGTTCGTTGGTCGGTTGGATGAGTACTTTCTATTTTTACCGGGAAAGCGACGAAAGTGTAATGATCATAATGTTAGAAAAAGCAGGAACGCACTCAAAATCTTTAATTTCTGAAAACCTCACTCACTCAGCAAACTCTGTCAATGGCTGCTCGCTCCCGCACGTCGTCTCTGCCCCGACGGACCATCCAGGATGTTCCTACATGCGAGAATATCAAGCTTTCTATGAATGAATGCAGAAAGGTCGATGTGCTGGGTCGCGGATCTTACGGAACTGTGTGGAGAGTAATGGATCCGTAAGTGCTCACGTACTGGTCAATTTTATTATGGATATATAGATCCTCAATTTTATCATAGATCTCTTAACTGCTACACCGACTTCAATTGATCTGTGAATCTCTTTGTTAGTTGCACACTGTTGGCTTATTTTTTTATTTTTTTTTATTTTTATTTTTTGATAATTGGGGCTTCAGGGTAGATTTACATATCGAAAGTGAAGTTCAGGTGTCAGAATCGTTCTGGCAGAGTCATAGGGCTGAATGGAGTAGGTTTTGGAGGAATACAAAATAACATCAGGAAGTAATGATCAGCGTTTAAAACTAAAAGATAAATTTGGTTTGATTGCGACTAATTGTCAAGTTTATAGATAGCCGTTCAGGCTTTCTTTAGTAGCTTAGATATGTACATGTATGAAAGTTGCTTTTAGATATATATATATATATATATATATATATATATATTTATATATTCATATTCACTTCGATTCATCGTATTCACTTCGATTCATGTTCGCTCCGATTCCAAATTGAAATTGTCAAGGAATTAGTTAACAATGTATATCAAATGTACACATAAACACTAGCCTCTTGGAATTATGTGGGGATGAGGCTTTGGAGGATTCCAACCCCACCCTCCTGAAGGTAAAGCTCTAATATCATATTAAAATATGAGTATCTAACTCAAAATTGACTTCTCATTTAGTTGTAATTTTCGATCTGGTGGCGCTGCCATTCAAGGCAGCAACTCGGCTGCTGACGAGTTGGGCCATGTTTTTTTTGGCTGGTTAGAAATTAGAACATGTTTCTTCATCACACCTTTCTTATTGAGCCATGTTAGAAGTCAGAATCTCCATCAACACCGATAGTTAATACCTCTACTCATAAAAATCTTATTAAGAAAGTGGTTCTATATATCTCATCTTTCCTTCAGTATCTGATATTTCATCACATCTTTCTTGATGGTGATTTCATGTTTCCCTGCAGAGGCGGACGCTTCTTTGCTGCTAAGGAAGTTTCCTTAAGTGATCGGGCAACTGAGCAGCTTGAACAGGTGACACCGTGACAGAGGCTTGTGTTGCATCATTTGTCCTGATCTTGCATGTCTCTTTTATTCGGCTATTAAGCGTCTGTTTGATAACCATTTCAATTTTAGTTATTGTGCTAAAGTGTAGAATAAAAAGAGGGAGAATGGTGTTGGAATTTTAAAAAGGTTTTAAAAAATTTACCGTTTTGATTTGTTTAACTATTTTGGTTGTTTTATTTTACTTATTGTACGGGTTATAAATATTTAATTTTCAAATTTTATTTATATATTGAATGCTTTAATTTCTAATTTAATGTGGTGAAGGTTACATGTTCTTGAATGCCTATAAAAGGTCACTCCTCCTTCACATTTGAAACAACACTATATACCATACTACCACAATATGAAACTACCACATAATACAACCATTACCACAATCTATTTCTCTCCTCTTCTACCTTTCACAATTTCTCTACTTCTATTATTATTTTTGGGCAACGATTTTGTCACTTGGAGTCCTATATATCCGACTATGAACGTACTCATACTGGACCTTGAGCTTGTGTATTAGAGGTCGTATCATGAGGTCTTGTAGACCGTCAGTACCTGCACGTAAGGAGGCTACAAAGGCTGACGTGTTACACCATACCAGGCTTGCTTTCATAATCTTAATTAATTTTACTTTTATTTACATATTATTTGTTTCTTTAGTTTTACTTATTACCTTAAAAGACTTTTCAATTTGTTTTATATATTATTTATATTATAAAAGGTTTTGCTTTTGGCTTTTACAGAAAGAAGAAAACTATAACTTTTATAACAAATGGAAGTGAGAATAAGAGTAAAGATGAGATTGAGAGGGGAGGATGAGATGGAGGTGTAACAAAAGTGAAAATTAAAACTAAAAACTGAAATTTATTTCAAATTATTTTCACTTTTCTTACTCCTTCCTCTCATCTTCTCTCTCAATCTCATTCTCACTTTCATTCTCACTCTCATTTTCCTACAAAAAATTAAAACTAAAAACTGAAATTGAAGTGGGTATTAAACGGGCCCTAAGTAATTTAGTAATTGTGTATGATGGGGAAGCTCTGACTCATCATCAGCCATTGACTAAGGATCATGATGATCAACGGTTCAGTCAAGATCTGACTGAATGACGACTGTGATGATGAGTTAGAGCTTCCTTCATATGATTAGGGAGGTCCGCATTGATTACTGTTTCTTTTATATTTCTTCTCATTCTTGGTTTTGTTTCCTATATTCCAGGAGATTGCAATTCTGAGTGAGTTTCAACACGAGAACATAGTTCGATATTATGGCACAGATAAGGTACAATCTATTGTTTGTTGTTGCTTTTGAGCTTGAATTTACACCAAAAGTCATGATACACACTTATCCACAGAAGTAACACTTTATATAATATATAGACGTATTATCTCTGCAAAAATCACTTGAATTCTTATTTAACTAATCAATTAAATTATTGAAATTTTATTAGTACTTTTTTGAAATATTGTGTTAATTAATTTTATAGGACACAATTATGACCAAAACCCACTTCTCAGTTCTGTTTTTCTTTTGAAAGATTAATTGGTTGCTGACTGAATCACCCCAAAACTAATGTCTTGTTAATTGATCCTTGGTTCCAAATACGTAGCATATGTTACAATTAATTAACTAAAGCCACCCATAGTTGTCTGGCTAGTATAGTTCATGCAACCCATGATTTTAATACAGACAAAATCACAGGTGCCAGCAAAAGAGAAAATCAGTAACAAATCAAATGCACAAGAACAGAACAGTAGAATACCTTCCCTCCTATTTCTCTCCCTTTTTTCTTTCAAAGCTTCTCTTTCCTATACTAGCAACAATAACATCAAAACCAAAAATACAGCAACAGCAAAACAAAAATAGTCCAAATATCAAATACCGACAAATTAAACCAGTCCAAAAACACCAAATCAGAAACACCCAAACATCGAAAGCTTAGGGATTTTCATAACTTAGATTAAACCCAGAGAGGCAGAGAGATCCGAGAGAGAAGAGGATCTGAGTGAGATTGAGAGAGAGGAGGGAGGAGGTGGATCGAGAGTTGAGAGAGAGAACGAGATAGGATTGATAGAGTGAGGAGTGAGTGCGAGTGAGAGCGGAGCGAGAGCGAGACTTGCTTGCCTGAAGAAAGAAAAGAAAATTGAAAACCAAAATTTGAGAGGGTATACAGCTGTCAAAATTTTAGATGGCAAAACAGGGGTACAAAAAGAGAGAATGGTGGACAATGTAATGTATATGTATAAAGTCCTTAGTTGGCACTGTCTTTGTGTTGGTTCGTGCCTTACTGAAAGTGATGGAGGGTTTTAGGCACGGTTTTCAGTTTTTCCGTGCTTTATTCTCTACTTTATTCAAATAATTAGTCACGAAAATTATTAATCCTATACCATTGAATTTCTATAAACAAACTCAAAAAATGACAGTTGACCTTATAAAATTTAATATTAATTATTAAATTACTTTCATACCCTATTGAGTATTTTGGGTATTTTTATGAGATTTTGGGGTTGAGCTTATTTTAAGAAATTGATGGCAATTTTGTAATTTATAAGAAGTTAAAAGCCTCTTTGTTATGTTTTAAATGAGCTTTGAATGTATTTCTATAGTCCATTTCATATGGGGTATTTTTATAATTTGGGCCCTTATATTGGGTATAAAAGTGAATCTCCCTAAAATTTTATAGGGACTGTTTCTATTATCAGTCTCTAATAGTATTCTTTGGAGACTGTTTTTATATCAGTCTCTAACAAGGGTACTGTTTTTATATCAGTCTCTAACAAGGGATCCCTATAAAGCATTTTTATAGTAGTGAATCCTGATATTTTAAGGACTCTGTGTGAAACTTAAACGGGGATACTCAAACGAACCAACATGAATTGTTTTTGGTTTTGAGTGGGAGAAAGCACTTTAAATTTGAGATTGATAAGTAGAGTTTCATATGTGCACAGCTATAGTGGTTTAGTTGATGCGTCCTTTTGCTTTTTGTTTTTTTGTTTTTTGTTATAAAACTAGAGGGAGAAAATGTAGAGAGAAGTGATATGCTAAAGATAAAGCTTCACCATATTTATTCTTCTCTTAATCTTTGGTAAAACCAACTATTTATAGGCTTACAAGATAGGAGATTGAATACCATCATTTACAATATACCTATAGGTTACAATCACTAATTACAAATACTTAGTGCATAGGTTACATAAAATCCAACGGTGGAATACTAAGAGATATGGTGGTCATCCACCAACTCACGCATTTACAACACTCCCCCTTGGATGTCCACCATACAATGACATAGTTCCCTCATTAAAAACCTTGCTTGGAAAACCCAGTGGGACAAAACCAAAGCGAAGGGAAAAAGAGTGAAACTTTCTTCTAGATCATTGATATGGTGTTGGATACGCTTATGTTGCCTCGTTAAAACCTTGCTAGGAAAAACCCAGTGGGACAAAAACCTAGTCGAAGGGAAAAAGAGTACAACGTGCATATGTCCTGTATGTAGTAGAATTGGGATGCTCCCCCTGATTGATATCTCCCCCTGATTAATATATATCCCCTTCTCTGATTTGAGCAATACAATCAACATTGTCTTCATGCATGATCGTCTATCACACTATTCAACCTCCTTTTCACTTTTCAAATGATTGAAATCTTTAGGAGCATTAACAACTAATTTAATAGTTAGAATATGTTACAACAATATCAAATTTGAATTCAAAATACTCAAACTCTTAGTGTTCTCTTAATTAAGAATATTGTGGTACTTTATATCCTTCCAGGGGTCGCTTCATCCGATATATCTCAAATATTTCATGAGCTTTGAGGATTTCCATGTACCATATAGTCTTAATAAATATGCATTTAACACATGCTATAAGTTTCTTGTTAAAATAACAACTGCATTTATAGAAATGTGGATGCATCTACGATGAGATGGGAGACTAAAACCATGTCTCTACCAGGAAACCTTATGTCATATTAGTGATCTTATTTCACTTCACAAACACCAATTCGTAACCTTCATACTTAACATTTGTAATTCGGTGTTTGAGCTATAGGTTCAATATCCCACACTTCATATTTAGTGATAAATGGAATTGCCTATTTCCATTTTGGCCAATCACTTAACTTGTTGACATTCATAAGGCGATTTAATATAATCATAGCCCTTGATGATTGTAGTAGCTACTAATAAACCAAATGTATCATCAATTCATGATCCCACAATTCTCATGTGCATGCGCATGCATAATTTGTAAGCATCTCATTGCTTTGGGGTACCAATGCCTCTTCAGGGGCTGATGTTGTCACTTATGGGACAAACATTTCTTTTACGATGAATTAATTAGAATATGTGGATCATAACCTCATATAGAGCGTTATTTTTTATAGGGCTTGAATTTTTCAAATAATCTCCACTTCTAGGGAGTTAAGGTTTTAGAACCTATATTTTGTCATGCTTCAGGCATGCATTATATATATAGTCACCATGTTAATGGATTGTGATACGAGAATATCAATCCATGTTAGCATATTACAACTTATATATGCATTATCTTGATGAGACAAAAGCGGATTGATTCAACACTATTTCATGACGTTCTTCAGGAACTGTCGTTTCTCCCCTTAACGGCGGGGAAAAATTGTCTCAAAATTTAGGAAAATAAACTCACAGTCATTATCAAATATGTGACCATTTTAGTAGGCACATTCAGTAAAACTGATGAAGTGATTCATAATTAAATGTTGTATAGGCTCACAAATATCCCCTTGAATTAGGGCTCAAAGTCAATTTTTGATTGAGATGATCTTATGACAGCTTTTATTTGTGAGCATTCTTTGTAATGATATTTGTTGGACAAGAAAATATTTTGAGTCTTTAAACGATGTCCTTACAAATGTATATAAATCTTATGTATCATTGAGGAACATGGATTGCCAAGACAGTCATACCACAACATAAAAGTTATCCAGTCAATGAACTTCTGGTTCATGACATCATAATCTTCAACTACTTTAATAGTTGTGTAATATTGGGGCTTCATGAACTTCTGGTTCATGACATCATAAACTTCCTACCCACAAAAGAAAGTAGGAAGTGTCTCCAATAGATGCCTCTGGCTGTTAATATTGGGGCAGTAATACAAGACATTACCATTGTAAAACGAAATTAACTAATAACCCAACATAAATAAAATAAAATAAAATAAAATGAGTAAAGTGGTATAAACGAGAAATAAAATAAATAATAAAAGTCTACGAAATTCCAAGATAATCCAATATTAATGCGGATTCAATATGTAGATAAAACTACAAGTTTAAGAATTGGATTTCCAACCAATTTAGGTTCATATAGGCACAAATAAGTAATGAACTTCAGGTTCATATATAGTATTAAGATCCATGAAAAACTATGAACTTCAGATTCATATCAATATATATTCGAAACTTCAGGTTCGAATACGTAGATCTAAATAAATGGAATTAATAGTTGTTCTTTGAACTTCATACTCAAATCGATGTATATATACTCGAAACTTCTGGTTCGGGTTCTTGACATATGTATGCCTCATGGAATTCTGATTTTGATTAATACAAAATCGAGGAGTTTCATGTCCTTATGTGCTCTTTAAATTCCGGAACTTCAGGCCCTCGATTATTTGGAATCAAAGAACTTCAGGTTTTGATTCAATCAAAAGAACTCTAGGTCCTAATCTAGTTATATGATGAGGATCGAGGAACTTCGGGCCCTGATCTTTTGTATAATACAAACTCATCATAATAATTAAGATCATATTTAAAGTTAAATAAACAAAGAAATAAAAAAAAACATGGCATTATATTCATGTGTAATAAGAATAAGATTTTTTTTTCTTAAATGAGCATGATGAAGTCTGATGGTGAGTATAAAGAAACTCTATACCATGTGATGACTCTAGCTCATATAAGAAGAATAAAAATTCAGAGAAAGAAAACATACCAAGAGCAATGTTGTGCTGATAACGTGTTATAAAACTAGAGGGAGAAAATGTAGAGAGAAGTGATATGCTAAAGATAAAGCTTCACCATGTTTATTCTTTTCTTAATCTTTGGTAAAACTAACTATTTATAGGCTTACAAGATAGGAGATTGAATACCATCATTTACAATATACCTATAGGTTACAAGCACTAATTACAAATACTTAGTGCATAGGTTACATAAAATCCAACGGTGGAATACTAAGAGATATGGTGGTCATCCACCAACTCACGCATTTACAACAATTTTTTTTTGTTTTTTGTTTT